ATAAATCTGAGTGGGCTTAGTTAATACTCGAGAATCTGGCAAAGATCCTGCCTTCAATGATTCTGACCGTTCTGATGACAAAGATAAGCGTTTTTCCTAAGCGCAAAAGGATTTTCCTAACAAAAGCAGTTAACATTGCTGTGCAAAACTTTCTACTTACCTACTAGTCATTTCACTTTCACTGTCAAGTGTCAGGACACGTCATTTTAGCGTCATTTAAAAAACATGTCCTTAGTTATAGGCTGTATCAAAAACCACAAACAATAATTTATTCACCTTCTAAATAGGTGCATTATGTCATAGGACTCCCAATTGACATTTAAATAATTGTTAAATTGAATTTTTTGTTCAATTGAGAAATTGTCAATAAATAGTAAAAATAGCACAGTTACATAGTTGACAAGTTCATTAATGTTGTTTCGGTGAACAGGGCGTTCTTTCTCATTCATTTCGTTTCAGGCTGAATTTGATTGTCATTATATTTACGCTTATCTATAATTGTACCAATCAAAATCATGCGAAAAGCTTGTATATGTTATAATCCAAAATTAAGTCTCACGCTAGACAAACCATCTGCATCCTGTGAGAGCATCTTTGATTAGAAGATCTTTGGGGTGATCTTGGCAACTCTTTCTAAGCATAGTCTGGATCTATAAACATGTCAGCTTCTTGTGGTGATAGTAAAGTTATATTATTATTATTATTATCTAATCTAAAATAGCTAATAATTTAGTTAATTATTAACAGGCCCCTTAACGTGGGCAATAACATCCTCTTTACAAGCTGAAATATATAGTTCGGAATTAATAGTTCAGGAAAATAATAAAGGGTAGAGCGATAAAAAGGCATGTATATATCAAGCAAGAGATTAAACACAAATTTTTTTTAGCAGAGGTACTGAAATGACTGTTATCTAAAATGAGTACCCTTAGGACACGTTAAATAGTGCATAAACCATAAATATGTTTGAACCATAAATTAATTATCTGTAGTGGGTAAATGTGTTCACACTTCCATTGGATGATGAGTTAAGTGGTCAGTTGTACAATTGTGCAGTTCCAAATCGGAAAACCAATACTGAAAGTAAAAAACGAGTAGGAAAACAAAATAGTTAGGATAACAAGATCCCATGAAAAAACTGCTGTATCAAATTAAACATTGATAAGACCTGTTAGATAGCTACTTTAAATAACATTACGGGAGACAAAAGTAAATTACGAACAAAACAGAAAGGATATCGGAACATGGTATCTCACATTTGTGTAATGAAATGCTATGCTAATGGTAGCGCTCGATCTGTTATGCCTTTAACTGCGCGCACTGCACACGCCAATTGTCAGAGTGTTTTTCACCACCAAAATGTGCTACTCTTGTTAAATTCAAAACTTTCTTCTCACTGAAAATGCTAATAAATTTTATCGAACAGTATTTTTGGGTAAAAATATTTCCAAATGCGACCATAAAATACCTTTAAATGTTTGCGCGCAAAAATCTATTGTTTGTAAATTATTTTAAATGTATACTGAGAAAATTTTTAGAACTGGTTTGTGATTTCTTATGATAATATTATAAAAAGATTTTGATTATAAAAAGTTCTACATATTGTAATGTATTAAAATGCATTATATGTGAGGCTTTTCTTCATATTTACTTGCCGAAATTGCCTGAAACCTTGAAATGTGAAAGAAAAATAAGCATTTAAAATTGAGATCCATGAACCATTTGAATGTCAAAAAGATTTTAAACCAGGTAACTTTAATTAACAATTCAAAAAACTTTTAAAACGATTATTGGCGGGTCGAAAAGTAATATAAAAAATAAACTCTTCGATATTCAGTATTTGTTAATTATTACCTAAAGACCTCGGTAGTAAGCCTTTAGTTGTCAAAAATTATGAACACATTCAACATTAAAAATAGAGGTATGGCGGAACAAAAGGCTAAACACCGCTCAGCAGTGAGAAAGTTACAATAATTTTAAATTTTAAAATAGTATTTTCAATGGGACACAAAACAATCAACATTTTACTCGAATTTTAGTATAATTTGAACCTGAAAAGCGTTTCGAATATTTTATTCATTAGCTGCTATCTTTAATTCATTAAACGATATGAATTAATTCATAACTTGATGCGCGGTTTCGGGTAATGTTGTGCAGCGCGCGGCCGAAATTGTGACAAACAGAAGGAAATAACTCGTCATCAAAATGTATCGCGCGAGAATGTTTTAGTAGACGCGCATGTGACGTCACAAGTGAAGAGCTCGCAGTGGGAAACAAAACCACCCCTATTTTTCTTTTTTATAGACATTGTAGCGCGATGCACCACTGGGCCTCGCCGAGCTGCGAATGATTGACATCGTGAATCATTTATAGACCGTTCACAGTATACAAAGTAGTAGACTCAGTATATAACTTCAATGGAGAATCGATGCCTTCTGAGTTTCTGAGAAAAAGACATTTTCAGTTAAGTTGACTTTTCAAATATAATATTGGTAGCAATGGACCATTTCCGTTATTTGTGTATTCAGTATTGTGTTCTGCCAATTGCAACTCTTGATCTTGATTTGATTAAATGTATATTGTACGACTTTTTCTTTATTGAATTCCAGCTCAGAATCATTAGTATAGTATAGGGTTTCATTACGTGGACCATCCAGATATGCAGAATTGAATTGGCCTCTAACAAATTTTGATATAATTACCATCACAATTGTAACTCTGGAGCACAATACAATCCCGATGTCTAAGCTAGTGGAGCCAACTTTTTAAGGGAGTATCAGTTAGCAATGCTGCTATGCATGCGATTTGGCATATAATCGAAATACAACACATCAAGTCTTTATAAAGAATTTGTATCCTAGTAACAAATTTGGGAGTTTAAGCCATATCGACAGAAACAAATCAGTAAATATTTCATTATTCTTAATATCAGTACTATTAAAAAATAATTTTCTTGTGTTTGAATACTTTTAAGTTAATAATGTCACTGCTTTACGGTCTCAGGCCGATCAAACGACTTCTAGGAACAATATCTAAGAGTTGCAACCAAATCGGCCAAAGCACTCTCAAGGAAATCAGTGTACATGCTCACAAACTACAGAAAATGAGTAGGTGTTTCTTAGTCTAAGGATGCTGAGTATTAGAATCCTATAGCTCCCCAGTCTGTATTAACTGGCAAATAGGTTCAATGCTGACCAGCTATTGACTGGCTAATATAGGATTACAATACGAATCCCAGGTTAATTAGTAATAGTTATTCCTATTTACTTTATAAACTTGTATTATTAACTAATTTAAATTGACAATAACTCTGTATTGCTCTTTATCTTCTCAGTTTTCTCACTGCATTATTTAATATTAAATTATGGTCATGTGATATAACATTATTTTGGCCCTATCTTAGGCTAGAAAGGATAGTTTTTGATTTGGTAAGAGTCAGCTTATAACTGTCATGTTCCTCTTACAAGGTCAAAAGGAAATCGCAGCACATGCGGAATCGCGATTTTTCCCATCCTCCGCGACAAATCGCAATTTTTACCGTTTGAAGCAACAAATCGCAATTTTCTCAGATCCTCGCAACAAATTGCTATTTTTTAAGTTCTCCGCAACAAATTTCGCATTTTTCTTTAAATCTGAGGACCAAATTTGCGCATTCTCTTTTCAATCTGACGTTAATGAGCTAGTTAACGAATTTATGACATCTCATTCTAACTCTGCCAATACATTATCTTTTGCTGCAAATTCGCCACAATTTATCTTAGTTTGGCTTGTCGCAGTGCCACTATTTTAAACCTAAGTAATCGTGATTTTCTTTTGTCCTTGATGAGGAGTGTCTGCTTTGTTCTCGGACGATGAGCCCTTCGTCCCTGAAAAGATAATCTTTAGAATTATAGTTAAGACTTTAAATAGTACAATTTGTGAAAAGGATTTCCTGGTCAGTCTATAAAACACATGAAAAGCAGTGTGCTCCTTACCCCTTAGTCTCTAGCTTTGTTATCAAAACACATGATTCGATCACGTGATGTTATCTCATTGTAAACAGGGTTTATTTGTTTGTTTACGTGTAGTATGGTAAAGTATTAACACAAGTTAACTGATAATATTATGTATATTAGTTCAGATTTGAATTTCGAAGTGGAACATTGAGTTCCGTCCTGGCGAGGTTTGGGAGGTACTTTCGAGATCGTCTGGAAGGGCTGATCTAAAAGCAATCTCTGCTCAGTATTCATACTTTTATAGCTAATCTAACTAGACTAAAGAGCTAGTCAACGAATATATTACATCTATATTTGCTCTACAAATAAATTATCTTTCGCCATGATTTTCGAGATTTTCACCGCGATTTTTCCTAGTTTGGCATGTCGCAACGCAGCGATTTTCGGCCTAAATAATCGCGATTTTCTTTTATCCTTGTCCTCTTAGGATATGACAACATTTATTGAGGTTAATTTTACTGGTAAGGATTCAGAGTTCTAAATAAGTAGGAGGGAATTAATTGCACTGGGCAAGTGATAAAACATTTAAACTTAATTTATGTTTCCCTATTCTTTCTCTTATATCTCGATCAATTGTTGACGGCTATGAAATGAAGTTGTGATGCATAATTTAGTCAATATCAGTTGTAATCGATATGTGATAAACTCGAGCTTGATGAGTGACCCACTACTATAAAATGTAATGGAAAGTTGTTGTGAGAATAATGTCAAGACAATGCATAATAACACATATAAATTATAAACGTCTAAACATACAAAAGCTTCAATTAGGGCAAAATAAGAGGTATGACTCAACATTGTTACAATGAGGCACTAATGTTTAGTACTTATATTTGATCCCACGAGGTGTCTGTAGCTCAGTGACGCAACTATTAATCAGAGGATTAGGTTAAAAACAGTACATGTTTTGTCTGGAATTTACAACACTGTTACCATGATCTAGTAAAACAAAGAATTAATTTGTTAATTACTGTACATATATAATATACTATCTACTTATCTAAGATGGGTAGAAGTCGTCTAAAGAACAGCAAACTGGACAGGACGGTCTACAGAAGACACCCAGTCCAGAGCGTCCTTCCAAGCTACCCAGTGGTCCTGAGCAACCCCCTGATCTGCCAACAACCGCTCTGGACAGAATCTGTATTGGCTTCATCTTCCTCTTCTCCATGTTTATATACCTGTCCACTGTTTACCCTTCACTTCCTGGTGGTGACTCGGAGAGCTTATGGTGAGTGTGATTACTTTCTTAATATTTCTCTTCTTGTCGTGTTTTGAGTTCAGGTTTAATCATATACTAATTATGTAATGCTCCTCAGTCAGTAGGCTTGAGTTTAACTAGATAATTAACAGATTTACAGTTAATGCTTATAGATATACAAGACTGGTTGAGTTAAGCTAATGTTCACAGTTATAGCCCCTATAGCAGTAAACTGCGGTATTACAGTTAAACTCAACAGGAAATAGTATACAATTTGTCACGGTTGCTCAATAGTAAACACTGAACATGACTAATTGGGGACCTTCCAAACAGTTACGGTCCTAATTTACAAACAGGTCAAGATAATGGGACACCCTTGTTTAAAATCAAATTGAAACTTTCCATAAGTATTCCATCAATTCCCATTTTCCCAGATCTTTAGTTTCCTAGCTGAAAGTTCCCAAACTGTCCCAGGTAACAGCTAAAGAGTTTGGAGTAGCTCACCCTCCTGGTTACCCTCTCTTTACAATACTAGCTAAACTAGCGATATTGGCTCTGCCATACGGGTCTACTGCATTCCGTGTGAACATCTTATCTTGTGTCTTGGGTAAGTGTGATGAGCTTAGTGCTGTCTTGCAATAGGTACTCTTTATTTTATTGTTACTCGTTCAGAACTTCATCATGATGTGTACATTTAATGTATAAATTGTATTTAGTAAACATGAAATAAATTCAATCCTAAAGTTGGTCAATTAATAGTGATATAATAGTTGGAACTGTATAATACTGGTTGTATTTTTAACCCCTAATAAGTACTGCATGTTATTATCCAATACAATGCACACGGTAATACCGGGGAGCCTGGTTCCCCAATTTTATACATTACTCTGGAACCAATTCTTGCAGTGAGTCAAATTTGGTCATGTACAAAGGGTTTACTGATTTCACGAAACAGCTTACATTTATTTGGGAACAATAGCCTAACTAGGAAATATGCACCCTGAAACATTAGATCTTACACTCAAAATCACTCTCCTTACAACCAACAATCACTCAATTTCTTACACATGAATTACTTAATTACTAATTACTTACAGCTAATCACTTAATAACTTACACGTTAATCACTTAATGACAAGATCCCCAAACTCCACCTGGTACTCTCTCGTCCAGTGAACAATTTCACACACTAACTGTGATATTATAGCGGGTAACTAATCGTTGTTGAATAGTGCACCCCCCACAAATACATTTTACAGCTTCTCTCTCCCTCTCTGTACATGCGCTCTAAGATTTGGGAGATTAGTTCCTTGTACTGGGGCGAGTGTGCAGCAAAACAAAAGATCTTGGTGTATCTTATGCTCTTATGTAAGAGTGAGAGCAAGGTTAGCTCTCAACACGGGTACTACTGGGTGGGTTACAATTGACTTTACTTCCAGAGATTTTACGGGCAGACTTTTAACAATCCATAGTTTAGTTTTAAGTGCGTAATGCAAGCTTTTCTAGAATGGTACTCAAAGGTTCATTCTGGACCACCCTGTATTATATAAGCTGATGATTTCTAAACTCTGTATGTAAATATGATGAGGATAGTTACAAGTTCAGCAGTATGATTCGAACAATCTTCCCTTTTTGGGTCGTGATAATCGAATATCAGTTCCCGAAATAGCAGTGTGCCATAATAGATGTTACATTTTGTGAGGTTTACAAATACCCAACATAGTAAATTTGTAGTGCATTATATAACACTTTTAAAATACCTCTTACGATATTTATACACAGAAGATAGTATACATTAAACATTATACATTACAATTTACACATTACACATTATACAATATACAATATACAATATATACCATATACAATATACAATATACAATATACATTGTATAATGTATAATTTACTACTCGGAGGGGGGGGGGGGACAACGCCCCAAAAGGCCCCACACATATCGAAAATCCGAAAAGGGCCCTAGAAATCGGGGCTTTTTGGGGCCTTTTGGGGCCTTTTGACCCTGACCACTATTTGATAGTGTTTATGGACCATAATCTCCATGTAAATACACTCAAATAAACATAAAAGTACTGCGCAAGTAGCCAGATAATATCATTAAAGCACTTAGCATATATCAAACTTGATGAAATTGAAGTTAATTCTAGGGCCCCAAAAGGCCCTACACATATCGAAAATCCAAGAAGGGCCCTAGAAATCGGGGCTTTTTGGGGCCTTTTGGGGCGTTGCCCCCCCCTACTCGTCTACTCAGTAGGTTCTGAGTACCGACACTACTTTTCTTCTTTTTCTCGCTCCACAATTGTAGAGCCCGTCTCCTGGACGTGATACCGTACTGTGTGTTGATTGGTTGGGGAGATTTCAACTGCAGTTCAATAGATACAGAGATGTCTGTAAAAGTAATGATAGTTAAGTAATTTAATGTGTCAGAACCTTCAAAACAAACCAGTTCTCTGTTCAAGTATCAACATCAAAAAAGTTTATTAAAAGTTATAGATATTGGTTGTACTAACTATTGACTACTGTAACAGTTACTGGTTACTTTATTAGTTATAGGTTTCAAGAGTTTAAATTCCCAATTAGTCAGACTGAGCAGGTTGAGCTGTAGTAATACACAGTACTGTTAGTTATAGGTTACTGTATTCATTCTGTTAGTTATAGGTTACTGTATTCATTCTACAAACACCTGCACTGTATAATATTATACACACCTGCAGTCCTGCACACACTGCAGGTGTAATCATGATTACGAAGTTACGAGAGAGAGAACCGGAGGAGGACTGATAACTATATTATATATCATGACACATCACCGCATCACGTAGTCACGTACTGTATCACGTGACAGCAACACGTACTGTATCACGTGACACAACACGTACTGCAGTACATTAGAAGGTTCGAAAAGGGTTACCTTAGAGCTTGAGTGAGATTTCGTAACTGAAAATCTGCTGATTTTACATAATTTATATATATAAGAAAACTCAGTGATTTATGCGCAACTTTACACAACCATTATAGGGAACATCAGAAGTCATCAAAATTTCCTCCTGAAAGTTTGAAATCCTGAAGAAATCTGTGATGGTATAAACCGTAAATGAACCATAAATGAACCATAAATAAACCGTACGTACACAGCTAAAAGGTCCTGACGTTTGGATTTAAACGATATGGACACGTTCATTGAAGTTTGAGGATATTGGTAAATATTAGTGACCCTACTGAATGGCACGATGATGTAAAATGTGTCACACTATGAAACTATATAAACCCTCAATGGTTAGGATAATCGTTTCATCCTCTAGATAAACTTTGTCGCATAACGATATCTTTATCAGACGATAAGATATCGCTTAAATGCGGCCGGCAGTGAGTTGTAAACTTTGTCACACTATAAAAACGTGACGGAGTTTATATGGACCCCTTGTTGCCGTGTTTGACCAAATTTTCGAATTTCAAATTCATAGAATAGCTGTATATGACTATTATCTACATATTTAGCGACTTTTTTCCTTAAATGGTAGCACCATGTAAACTCCGTCACACATTTAAGAAATTTATATGAGGGATGTTTATGACATCCTGACAAGAAATCCCGAATAGTCTAGCATTATTTTGTGAGCTGAATGTGTTTGGAATTGTTCACATATTTCATTGTTATAGGCAAATACAAATACAGAAGGCAGAAATAGGTAAATTTAGTCACATAAATTTGTATGATATCTCAACATGTGTGAAATTGAGTAAATATTAGTATACCAACTTAAACACCCTATATTACGTACTATGGATCAATTAACAATATTTCAACCATACGCCGGTCATATAAATTATTATATGGCAGTGATATGTTAACATTGGATAAATTTCAACACCTGAACAGGGTCAAAATTTGTAAATTTCGTCACAAAAAAAATATTATAACTTTATTTGCTCCGTGTTGGCAAAATAACTAATTTATCGACATAGTGATGGTGATAAAGTAACATTATATACTAATTGAGGTATGATTCTTCAAAATAGGGGCAAGAAATGTAAATTTCGTCACATCAACCATTGCATTAGTTAGTTATATTTTCTTTCGTATCAACTGCCCTTATTATAGTTGGAATGGATTTATACAGGAAATATAGAAACCCATGCCCATTTTTCATCACATTGAAATTATACTGTTGGGGCAGGAAAAGTAAATTTCGTCACATTTCGGTAAATTAGTGATATCAAACTCAGCATTGTTAAACTTGAGTTCTGATTTGCTGAAAAATAACCTACCAATAATTCCTGGAAGAATATTGAATTCTAATCGGGTTATGGTTCTTCAAAATAGGGTCAAGAAATGTAAATTTCGTCACATACGTCATTGTAAAATTTAGATACATTTTCTTTCACATCAACAGTCCTAATTATAGTTTGAAATGATTAATTCAGAGATAAGGAAATATAGAAACCCTTGCCCACTTTTCATCACATTGAAATTATACTGTTGGGGCAGGAAAAGTGAATTTCGTCACATTTCGGTAACTTAGTAAAATTAAACTCAGAATTGTTAAACTTGAGTTCTGATTTGCTGAATAATAACCTACTAATAATTCCTGAAAGAATATTGAATTCTAATCGAGGCATGGTTCTTCAAAATAGGGTCAAGAAATGTAAATTTCGTCACATTAGCCATTGCATTAGTTAGATAGATTTTCTTTCATATCAACTGCCCTTATTATTATTGTGACAATTTTTACATCAACTGCCCTTAACTTGAATCAGCTCTATCCGTGCATCGTCCTTATATACAGTTTTCCCGCCTTCCAAACCAAAACCAGATATAAATGATTTCAGCAATTCACCCAAAATTTATATTCCATATAATGTGACAGAATTTACATCATTTCCCAATAAGTGCATATATTTGCTAACTTTTCAAAACAACATATTTTAGGGCTATGATTGGTAGAAGAACCATCAAATAATGAGTTGAAAGGGTTTTGAGGACACCTCACAGTAGAAAAGAGGTATCGCATTCTGAGTGTGACAAAGTTTACGAAATATTGCCATAAAACCGTTCGATCCCTGCCCTTCAGCCAAATGTTGTATCATAATTGTTAGAATGACCTAATCTACTATATTTTAAACCAAAAAATGCTAATTGGGCAGCTATGGTTAACACAGTCACAAAAATGTGACATTTTTTACATTATAGTGCCTAAAAACAATAAATTGTATTTCTGAGCCGTGTATATGGAAGTATAGGGTCACCTGGCTAATGTCCAGAACTTCTGAACACGCTATTTTTTTTGGTTTACCAATATCCTTAAACTTCATCATGAACGTGTCCATTTACGATTTCGTATCATTTTGTGACGATGTTTACATCAACTGCCCTATACTTCAATCAACTGTATCCGTGTATCGTCCTCATATAGAGTTTTCCCGCCTTCCAAACCAAAATCAGATATAAATGATTTCGGAAATTCACCCAGAATTTCAAATTCCATATAATGTGACAGAATTTACATCATTTCCCAATAGCCAAGTGCATGTATTTGTTAACTTTTCAAAAAAACATATTTTAGGGCTATGATTGGCAGAAGAACTATCAAATAATGAGTTGAAAGGGTTTTGAGGACACCTCACAGTAGAAAAGAGGTCCCGTATTCTGAGTGTGACAAAGTTTACGAAATATTGCCTTAAAGCCGTTCAATCACTGCCCTTTAACCAATGTTGAATCATAATTGTTATATTGACCTAATCTACTATATTTTAGACCAAAAAATGCTAATCGGGCAGCTATGGTTAACAATGTCACAAAAATGTGACATTTTTTACATTATAGTGCCTAAAAGCAATACATTTTATTTCTGAGCAGTGCATATGGGAGTATGGGTCACGTGGCTAATGTTCAGAACTTATGAACACGCTATTTTTTTTGGTTTACCAATATCCTTAAACTTCATCATGAACGTGTCCATTTACGATTTCGTATCATTTTGTGACGATGTTTACATCAACTGCCCTATACTTCAATCAACTGTATCCGTGTATCGTCCTCATATAGAGTTTTCCCGCCTTCCAAACCAAAATCAGATATAAATGATTTCGGAAATTCACCCAGAATTTCAAATTCCATATAATGTGACAGAATTTACATCATTTCCCAATAGCCAAGTGCATGTATTTGTTAACTTTTCAAAAAAACATATTTTAGGGCTATGATTGGCAGAAGAACTATCAAATAATGAGTTGAAAGGGTTTTGAGGACACCTCACAGTAGAAAAGAGGTCCCGTATTCTGAGTGTGACAAAGTTTACGAAATATTGCCTTAAAGCCGTTCAATCACTGCCCTTTAACCAATGTTGAATCATAATTGTTATATTGACCTAATCTACTATATTTTAGACCAAAAAATGCTAATCGGGCAGCTATGGTAAACAATGTCACAAAAATGTGACATTTTTTACATTATAGTGCCTAAAAGCAATACATTTTATTTCTGAGCAGTGCATATGGGAGTATGGGTCACGTGGCTAATGTTCAGAACTTATGAACACGCTAGATTAATATATGTTAAAATTAAACCACTATCGTCAAAAACGCTGTTTTAGAAATTTACCAATTTCCTCAAACTTCAATGAACGTGTCCATATAATATATAGTAGACTGTATTCAGACTATTGTAAACTGTGTTCAGACTATTGTAGACAGTAGTTAGAAGTATAGAAGTATAGAAGTATAGAAGTATAGAAGTATAGAAGTATAGAAGTATAGAAGTAAAGAAGTATAGAAGTATAGAAGTATAGAAGTATAGAAGTATAGAAGTAAAGAAGTATAGAAGTATAGAAGTATAGAAGTATAGAAGTATAGAAGTATAGAAGTATAGAAGTATAGAAGTATAGAAGTATAGAAGTATAGAAGTATAGAAGTATAGAAGTATAGAAGTATAGAAGTATAGAAGTATAGAAGTATAGAAGTATAGAAGTAAAGAAGTATAGAAGTATAGAAGTATAGAAGTATAGAAGTATAGAAGTATAGAAGTATAGAAGTATAGAAGTATAGAAGTATAGAAGTATAGAAGTATAGAAGTATAGAAGTATAGAAGTTTAGAAGTATAGAAGTATAGAAGTATAGAAGTATAGAAGTATAGAAGTATAGAAGTATAGAAGTATAGAAGTATAGAAGTATAGAAGTATAGAAGTATAGAAGTATAGAAGTATAGAAGTATAGAAGTATAGAAGTATAGAAGTATAGAAGTATAGAAGTATAGAAGTATAGAAGTATAGAAGTATAGAAGTATAGAAGTAAAGAAGTATAGAAGTACCGTATAGAAGTATAGAAGTATAGAAGTATAGAAGTATAGAAGTATAGAAGTATAGAAGTATAGAAGTATAGAAGTATAGAAGTATAGAAGTATAGAAGTATAGAAGTATAGAAGTATAGAAGTATAGAAGTATAGAAGTATAGAAGTATAGAAGTATAGAAGTATAGAAGTATAGAAGTATAGAAGTATAGAAGTAAAGAAGTATAGAAGTATAGAAGTATAGAAGTAAAGAAGTATAGAAGTATAGAAGTATAGAAGTATAGAAGTATAGAAGTATAGAAGTATAGAAGTATAGAAGTAAAGAAGTATAGAAGTATAGAAGTATAGAAGTATAGAAGTATAGAAGTATAGAAGTATAGAAGTATAGAAGTATAGAAGTATAGAAGTAAAGAAGTATAGAAGTATAGAAGTATAGAAGTATAGAAGTATAGAAGTATAGAAGTATAGAAGTATAGAAGTAAAGAAGTATAGAAGTATAGAAGTATAGAAGTATAGAAGTATAGAAGTAAAGAAGTATAGAAGTATAGAAGTATAGAAGTATAGAAGTATAGAAGTATAGAAGTATAGAAGTATAGAAGTATAGAAGTAAAGAAGTATAGAAGTATAGAAGTATAGAAGTATAGAAGTATAGAAGTATAGAAGTATAGAAGTAAAGAAGTATAGAAGTATAGAAGTATAGAAGTATAGAAGTATAGAAGTATAGAAGTATAGAAGTATAGAAGTATAGAAGTATAGAAGTATAGAAGTATAGAAGTATAGAAGTATAGAAGTATAGAAGTATAGAAGTATAGAAGTATAGAAGTATAGAAGTATAGAAGTAAAGAAGTATAGAAGTATAGAAGTATAGAAGTATAGAAGTATAGAAGTATAGAAGTATAGAAGTAAAGAAGTATAGAAGTATAGAAGTATAGAAGTATAGAAGTATAGAAGTAAAGAAGTATAGAAGTATAGAAGTAAAGAAGTATAGAAGTATAGAAGTATAGAAGTATAGAAGTATAGAAGTATAGAAGTATAGAAGTATAGAAGTATAGAAGTATAGAAGTATAGAAGTATAGAAGTATAGAAGTATAGAAGTATAGAAGTATAGAAGTATAGAAGTATAGAAGTATAGAAGTAAAGAAGTATAGAAGTATAGAAGTATAGAAGTATAGAAGTAAAGAAGTATAGAAGTATAGAAGTATAGAAGTATAGAAGTATAGAAGTATAGAAGTATAGAAGTAAAGAAGTATAGAAGTATAGAAGTATAGAAGTATAGAAGTATAGAAGTATAGAAGTATAGAAGTATAGAAGTAAAGAAGTATAGAAGTATAGAAGTATAGAAGTATAGAAGTATAGAAGTATAGAAGTATAGAAGTATAGAAGTATAGAAGTATAGAAGTTTAGAAGTATCTCATGATCAGACAAATGTATCAATTGTATGACTATGAGTTTTGTGTTGTTATACCTGTACAAATAAATCCTTCAATTATTCTAGCTATCCTACTGGTCGGTCCTACTGATCGGTCCTACTGATCAGTCCTACTGGTCGGTCCTACTGGTCGGTCCTACTGGTCGGTCCTACTGATCGGTCGTACTATACTGGTCGGTCCTACTGGTCGGTCCTACTGGTCGGTCCTACTGGTTGGTCCTACTGGTTGGTCCTACTGGTCGGTCCTACTGGTCGGTCCTACTGGTCGGTCCTACTGGTTTGTTTATAATAGGTCTACAGCTGTGGTCTATGTATATTGGTAGGAAAGTAGCACTGCCTCTCCTTTAACTTTCAATTACCTCTCAATTAACAAGTGTTTTCTCAAATAACACGGCACGAGCAACTTACTTCCTTTCCTACAGTAACAACTATAGCGTTTAACCTATTAACGGGTACAAATAGAATATAAACAACTGTTATTAATACAGCAAGGGTGTTAATTACATTAGTTAATATCCGTAAAAGTTACCACAGTTAGGAGGTTAAGAAAAGTATTTGCTATCACCAACCTGCAGGTGCACTACTTTTAATGAGATGTACCAATGAAACATGCTTAGTGCTTACTACTAAAGTATTTGTGGAATTTATTATGAGCCTTACATGGTATGTTACACTATAACGCATAATAAGCTGGTATTAAGGTGTGTAGCCAGTGTTAAGCTTAACCAGGTTGAAATATTCCCACGCAACTACATATTCACATAATGAATATAATAGATTTGGAATGTTGTGATTAGTTCAATCAAAAGCAGTCTCTAAAATCAATGTCCAATAAATAATTTATAATCAAATAAGAGTATGTCATTATAATGTTATCTGGGATTTATATCCCCAAAAATTCGTAAACACTGAGCGCTGATAATTTCCCACGTGTCGTACATTATAACACATAATACCTGGCTTGGTTTCGTGCCTGTGCTCGCCCTCACCTCCGGTTTGCGCGCAACACTCAACAGCTAAAGTATTACGGTATTATTATAGATAATAAATGCTATAATCATAATATCGTTACAACAATTATATTGTTATTTGTTGTTACAATAATGTCTCTGGTTAGTACCTGTAACAATTCCTTTTTCAGGTAGCATAACAAATGCGCTACTAGGAGCCTGCCTGTTAAGAGCCACTAAGAATGTGACTGTTGCTCTTATAATATGTGCCATGACGGGGTTTTCTAGATTCTTCTGGATATGGAGCATTACAGGTATACTGTGTATTTCTTATGTGTTTTATACACTTCAATCTTAAATCAAGGTGGGTTTTTAATCTTGTGCACACCAAATTTTCAATAAGAATCTCAATATATTGAGCATTTATTGCAAATTTCTCTGGATGTTATACAAGGTAGTTATATAGTAGGTACCCATACTTGCAATAAAGTTCCTCCTTACCTGTTATTGAAATGCTGTTAAAATTTGTAGTTGGTGGTTAAGAATGTGGTCCTCCATAATCCCGATAGACTTCCAAATATTCACATTGTAATATACATCTATTTTTTGTAGACCTTATAAACACTGTTATTTATTCAAACAGGTGAGGTATTCTCGCTCAACAATGCCCTGTGCATGGCTATAATGTTGGTAATGTACGACTTCTGCATTGAGGAGGATTCAGAGAAGAAGCTTAAGGTGGGACGAGACAATGTTTAATTTTCATTATTTTAAATTCTCTTAGATTGAGGTTAAGAAAAAGAATCTCGTTTAACTTATCACATTTATCTTTAATCTCCTTAGCTTTCCAATACCTATATTTAACAAGTTGTAAGGTTTACCCTCACTTTTTCAGCTGACATACATTCTAGCAATACTGAGCGGGTTTGCGTTAACCAATCAGCACACAGCATCTCTTATCGTTATTGCTCTTGTATGCTTTGTATTGTCGGATCTGCTTGATCATGAGGTATTTACATCTTTTGTAAAATTGCTTATATTTAGGATACAATTGTGCAATTTATTATATAGATAATGTTGAACTTAACTATTTGATACGCATGAACAATATTCATAGGACCACGTTCCGATGAATTGAGAGGGGTCTACTTAAATTAAAGACGGAACGCGCGGTGTACACTATTTAGAGATCTCTACGCGCACGGACAAATTATTTACGCACATTCAGACTTTCATTTCATCACAAAGCCCGCGAACAACCCTGAGGGCTGGGCACAACACCCCTCAGGACCGATTTGTCACTTTGCTCGACCCTGATTTGATCTAGAAAATACTATTTTTTCAGCTGATCACTACACAGAATGTAATCAACCTGACTATCGCTGGGTTATCCCCGATGATTCTGTACCTACAGGTTAGGAGAGCGTTGCCAGCCAATTACATTTTCATGTTCTATTATTAGCAGCAAAGTATAGAATTTCAGAAACGCTACAATTCATCAAGGTATGTTGTATACTGACCGAACTAATCCGATGAAATCATTTTACCAAACATTTATTTCAAAACCAGCATTCAAGGTCCCTCCCCAAACCTTATATTTTTCCCTCAGTTACCGATCCCTCCCCAAACCTTATATTTTGCCCTCAGTTACCGATTGCGAGTTATCTGAGAACAGCGCGGGTATCCTGGGGTGATCACCGAACTACGGAGGGTTTCCTGTTCCATTTCTTCAGAAAGGACTATGGCACACTCAAATTGGTTAGTTCTTACAATTTTCTTATTGCACAAAGTGGAAATTTTATTCCTCTGTCGAAATAATGTCTGTTCAGATAATTGTATTACCTACCAAAACATTATCAGGTTAAGAATGAAGCGGATGTTGACATTTGGAGGAACTATTCTATCCTAACAGTTGATCTTATGAGAGAGTTGACCATACCAGTTCTACTACTCGCTCTCTTCGCAACTACAGCAATGATATGGTAAGAAAACAGGACAATTTCATACGTTATACTTAAGTTTGAGATGTGTGTAACCTATAAGTGTTCCACAATAACTAAAAGTTATGTTTAGTCAGTACATAACATACATTATTGTACAAATTCCTCGATCTCAAGCCATTGCCAAGACGGAGAGATGAGTAGCAGAACATGATTAGGGAGGGGAGACACAATTGCTGGTGACAATGTCCAGGAAAATAATTTAAGCTTGGACCCATGAAATATAACAATGCAATTTAAATTTGTTCTTTATTAGTTCAATAAGGAACTGTATTGTCCAAATTAATTAGTCACGTGATATTTGTGTTGTTCTATGATTATGTTGAGCAGTTACATTGTTCAAAGGATAAGCTTGATGTGTTCAGACTTCAGACTAAGTTTGGGATTCTTAAATTAGGGAGGGGAGACACAATTGCTGGTGACAATTTCCAGGAAAACAATTTAAACTTGGACCCATGAAATATAACAATGCAATTTAAATCTGTTCTTTATTAGTTCAATAAGGAACTGTATTGTCCAAATTAATTAGTCACGTGATATTCGTGTTGTTCTATGATTATGTTGAACAGTTACATTGTTCAAAGGGTAAACTTGCTGTGTTCAGACATGCAACTAAACCACAAGAAAATATTCAGTTAGTTGGTTCAAGTATTGCAAGTGTGAACACTTTAGGTATGAAAAGGGTTAATTAGAACATACTACTTTTAGGGAGTCCTCATATAATCAAGATTCAAGACCTAAAAATATTTTCAGGCGGGAGCACGACAGGAAGTTTGTATGTTTCCTTAAAACCACGTTTGTCCTTTACACTGGTTTCTTCTGCTCCTTCGCTAATATCACTGACATTGAGGGTATCTACAAAGGAGTGGTAGGTGAACTTTGTTTATGTTATTCTATTGTTTTGTTTTAGTTCAATCAGCTTGTTCTTGCTAGTTTTTATCAGCTGAGTTCAGCTGAGTTCAGCTGAGTTAGCACCTTTTCTCGAAAAACGACAAGTTTCTGTTGAAAAATTAGTTTGTTCTCTCATATTTCGTTTTAACGAAATATGAATTTAAAAATTTAACTCTCCCCAAAGGTTTATCATCTGAATTGTGACGAAAGGTTAAAATATAAGCTCATACTTAATCCATTCGTATTATAACTTATTATATTATGATTTATGTAACTATAAATTAAGTAAAACACGACTATCACTTCACTAGTTACGGCGGTATCTCTTTTGGGGGAGGTGTAAGTTAACCTGCATGATGATTTACAGACTAATTGATGTTAATTGCACGTGATATTTTTAATAACGTGTGAAATTCCCGTGATGTTTGCTAATCACACGTGAATTGCACGTGATGTTTATGAAACACGCGTGAATTGCACGTGATGTTTGTGAATGTGTTGAACTGTAGCAGTGAAACATCTATGTTTAATGTTTATGTAAGAAGGAAAATTCAAGAACATTCATCGAGAAGAATCTGAAAGCACCGCATTCAGGCATAACTGATAGCTTGATAGCACATTTATAGTAAAACAAATAACTAATGCATCTATAAACATCGATTTAACATTTGAAAACATTCGTATATAATCTTACAAAAGTAACTTTACAGAATATAGATAATTTAAAGAACTTAGAGGCTACAACTCGTGTAGTTGCCCAAGTAAGACTCTGTGTAAACCTATTGATTGTCTGATTAGTGATTACACCCTTGTTTGTTTAAATACGAATAAAAAGAATTACTGTACAGTGTACAAGCCCAGATTTCACAAGGAATTTGCAATGATTTTATCATTTGGTTAAATAATCACTTCTGCACTGGTGGACGCTTAATTGCACAATGTTAGTTTTATTTAGTTGATCCTATTCACTAGTGAATTATCATATTTCTTGACTTAAACATGAATCTTGACCGCTACTGTTTTTTCAGAAAAATGTTCATGTATTTTTAAATTTCATTGTTATAATTCCCAGCCTCCGCTTTACCCCAGGACTAAGAATAGTCTGATCTGTTTCTGCTTGACCATCACGTGACCATCACGTGATAGGTTCTAGTCATGTGACAGGTTCTAGTCACGTGCCAAGTTCTAGTCAGGTGACAGGTTCTAGTCAGGTGACAGGTTCTAGTCACGTGACAGGTTCTAGTCACGTGACAGGTTCTAGTCACGTGACAGGTTCTAGTCACGTGCCAGGTTCTAGTCCGGTACCACCTGACCACTGAGGATCATGTTGCCCGTCATCAGCTCCTCCTGCATCTCACACATGAAGTACCCGAACCTGCTCTCTATAATCTGCACGTCGTAACAGTCCACTGCTTCGTAGTAATACGCTCTGTTGAAGTCAGGTTTAACACGTGGTTTAACACGTGGTTTAACACGTGGTTTAACACGTGGTTTAACACGTGGTTCAATAATCAATAATCATGTTGCGTAAAAAACAAATATAAATCACGTAATTTTTCAAAAGATAAATTTGTTATGACCGAAAGACTTACTTTACTTGACATTAAACCCAAGCACGAACTAAGCGCTAAGTAGCTGACTTAAACCAACCAATCAGAACACAGTACTCACACCACGTGACACAAACCAACCAATCAGAACACAGTACTCACACCACGTGACACAAACTAACCAATCAGAACACAGAACTCACACCACGTGACACAAACCTACCAATAAGAACACAGTACTCACACCACGTGACACAAACCAATTAATCAGAACACAGTACTCACACCACGTGACACAAACCAACCAATAAGAACACAGTACTCACACCATGCGACAAAAACCGACCAATTAGAACACAGTACTCACACCACGTGACACAAACCGACCAATTAGAACAAAGTACTCACACCACGTGACACAAACCAACCAATCAGAATACAGTACTCACACCACGTGACACAATCCAACCAATAAGATAAAAGCACCCCTACCTGTAGTTGATGAATCGTTCCTCAAGTTCAGTGTAAAGCTCAATAGCCTCCTTACAATACTTCTTCTTCTTTGAAAACTCTTGTTTTTGTGCATCTTGAAGTAGATTATAGTTAGCTTTCTGGTGAGCTTGAGATAGAAGATCTATTGAACCCATTCCTTTCTTCTTCTTGGGTTTCCTTTTTTTAGCCTTCTCAAAGAAAACCAGATCTCCCGAGTTAGCAATACTAATCCCCATAACATTGAAGTAATCTCTAAGGATAATACAAATCTTATCAAACGGAAATTTTTTGACTTCCTCTGAGCTAACAGCGCCTTTAAGAGCCTTTGCGTAAACAAAGTGGATGATCTCTAGTTTTGTAGTATCGTAGTCCTGTTTCTCCTTGTTCAGTTCCTCCATTAGGAACCTAAACTTGTCGTCCTCGTTGATAATAGGGTTCATATCAAGTGAGGGTATTTCACTCATTTCTGCTATGCTGGACTGTGAGTTGGTTTGACTGTGGTACCTGTGTAGGAGAGACGTATTATTGTTAGTTAGTTAGTTAGGAGGCAGGTTATTTTAGTTAGTACTTAAAAGTAACTAAAATAACTAAAAATAACGTATTAAAATAATTAACTAAAATAACCTGCCTCCTAACTAATAATAACCCATTTTCCAGACTCTGGAAAACGAGTGGGAATTTGAAAATCTTATGAAAACTATTTAGTAATTAGTAGTAATTAGCAGTAATTATCAGCAATTAGCAGTAATTATCAGTAAATAACAACATACCCATCAGATCGATCCTCATACTCTATATGATGTTCTTTAATTGGTGCTATTCTCGTCGGGAACTCGTACTGTTCGTCGTTATTGAAGAACAGATCGTTTGCTTTGCCCTTATCTGGGATTATCCAGTTGTCTGTTTCTTCAGGGTCTACCTTCACGTGTAGTCTCACCTGAACCACATGTAATTAATTAACATTTAATTAATGATCCATACTATTTTGTAATTAAATAAACATGCGGTTAAAATATTTTGTGAATTTGTCTGTTAGATCTGAGTTTTTAGGTTTCAAATATAAAATCACGTGCAACTTGAACGATCAAAATAAATTAAAACAACAGACTGATTAGTCAATTAATAACAATATACAGGGTGTACCGCATGTGGGACACCCTGTACTCGTCGTATCCCTGCTAACCTTCATATTATTCTGTTTCTTTAAAAGGCGCACGTGCACGCGCAGACTCACGTCCCTGTACGGGTCCTGGTCGACGGACGAGTCCGCCACGGACCGGGTTGCGGAGGTACCTGATTATTATTGATATTGTTAGAAACAGCATTACTGATTATCTCGTCAGATAGTCAATTATTGAATAATGTCCGGATTATTTTGCTCGTATGTAGGGGGGGGTCCAAGGGGAACTTTGGGGAACTTTGGGAAAGTCCCCCAAGATTTCTGAAGTTCCCCAAAAAAAAGTTCCCCAAAACTCCCCAAAGTTCCCCAAAATTCCCCAAAATTATTCAAAATTATTCAAAATTATTCAAAATTATTCAAAATTATTCAAAATTATTCAAAATTATTCAAAATTTCTCTAATATACATTAATACCCATTAATGTTAACATGTATGTTATTATAAGGTATAATCTTAACTTACTTGTTGATACTTGCAGCATGATAATTTTTTTGGCATAATAATTTTTTTGGGGAACTTTGGGGAATTTTGGGGAACTTTCTGAAGTTCCCCAAAAAAAATTTCCCCAAAATTCCCCAAAATTATTTGTTTCATTGATAATTTTTTGGGGAACTTTGGGAAAGTCCCCCAGGTTTCCTGAAGTTCCCCAAAAAAAAGTTCCCCAAAACTCCCCAAAGTTCCCCTTGGACCCCCCCCCCTATGTAGTCACATTTTATGTAAAACACCCTATAATTGTAATTGATTAATTATCCACTAATAAATCAATTAATTGATACTGATAGTTGCAAATTTTCGGTGTCAACGCCATCTTCAGGCTATAATAGCCTGAAGATGGCGTTCCATTTGTCCTTGTCTCTTTCAACCAGATATTATCCAACTATCAGTATTGCATCACGAGACTAATAAACAGCGAACTACTCCAACAATTGATAATCAATTAATTAATTAAGTATATAATCACCTGACTCAGACACGGCGTCGATACTTTTAGTACTTTTAGTTGCAGTAGACCCGGCCTTCTTAAGATTAAGATCAAAATACTGAGTCATTCCTTTAGAGTTTATATCATCATCTTGTGGCAATGGTGGGAATTGTTCTACTGGTATTTCCGGCTTCTTTAAACCAAGGAGAGTTAGTATCCGGTCCATTTTAGCTGGTGTTACCACTGGTTACAACTGGTTACCACTGGTTACAACTGGTTACCACTGGTTACCACTGGTCACGGTGGATGGTGTTATGACAGAGTGTCGTTTTCAGAGTGTTGTTTTGTTAAATGACCATGGCCTGGTATTGGTTACAATTTAAGTTCTACAAGCTGTACATGTTAATTCGGGGGGGGGGGGGGGGGGCAACGCCCCAAAAGGCCCCACAAATATCGAAAATCCAAAAAGGGCCCTAGAAATCGGGGCCTTTTGGGGCGTTGGCAACAAATCGACGATAACGAGCGATAGATTCGGGATGATTAACAGCTTAAGAAAAAAGTGAGATAACCGAAAACAACCCTTAAACCGCACAAAACAACAAGCCGACTGATCACACAAACAGAAAAGCAATGCTGTGATTTACATGTTACTGCATCAGTTCCTCACAATACAGCTCAATCAACCTTCATAACTGCCCGGCTCAACATGGGATTAAGAACACATACATCTAATGTGGCCTATAATATCAGCTCCTTATACATGCCCTTATATGGGCGTCAGGTGGTCTCACCATGTGTTTATTGTCATGATCTGTTCAGATGGTGGAATATGCTGGACTAAGCTGCAACCACTTCTGGTGCTTTTTTAGCTGTTTAATGACTGAACATAATGGAACTTAGTGTAGTTGCTAGTGAGGGGTACCCAAATCTCCCTGGATCAGAAACTACTTAATTCACGTATACACAGTGAGATGCTAGTTTGTTCTGTACTTCTGTTACTTGAGAAACAGGTAGGCCTGTATAGGTGGCCTTTTACAGTTAACACGCACGTGCACTAAGGCGAAACAACAAAGCAAGTCAAAACAAGCGTTATTTATTATAAACAGTTCCAGTTTAAACAGAATAGGTTCCGTTAATGCCCCATATTCAGTGTTGTAATTACTTTTCACATACCAGTGTTCAATACATGACTAAAACAGAGCGTATACATTTAGTGTACGATTCAATACTCTGTAAATATATTATATATAATAACTAATAATGAGTTTCTTTACTGTCCTATGAGACCAGGAATGGACAATGTGATGGATATTGAATTCCAGTGTTCATAAGAAAATATAAGAGTCAAGTGGAGGAGGTCACACTATGTTTCTCTTAACCCGGGACAAAACAACGAGCTTCAGATAATTCTAATTTTACCGAAACTTATAGTAAAGTTCAAGCTAGATTTTACTTTTGATTTCAGCGCAAAATGAAGCTAGGTATCAGAAATAAATGTCCTTCGGAAAAGGATAGTATACACAATTACACACTACACTATAAAATATGAGTCAGTCATATGACTTATCCTATCTTCTTTTCTAACAGTGTTTGTAGAGTACATAATTGATATTATTGTGCAATAATTAACGGGATATATCGTAACACCCCAATATTGATGAGGGAATTTCCACTAAAACCTATCTTAACGCTTTTTTGGTGTACTCAAAGATTGATAAGTTATGGGAGGGGGCAATGGAGGAAGAGGGTCTAGCGGCGGCGGTTGAGGGAGGGTCTAGCGGCGGCGGTTGAGGGAGGGTCTAGCGGCGGCGGTTGAGGGAGGGTCTAGCGGCGGCGGTTGATGGAGGGTCTAGCGGCGGCGGTTGAGGGAGGGTATAGCGGCGGCGGTTGAGGGAGGGTCTAGCGGCGGCGGTTGAGGGAGGGTCTAGCGGCGGCGGTTGAGGGAGGGTCTAGCGGCGGCGGTTGAGGGAGGGTCTAGCAGCGGCGGTTGAGGGAGGGTCTAGCAGCGGCGGTTGAGGGAGGGTCTAGCGGCGGCGGTTGAGGGAGGGTCTAGCGGCGGCGGTTGAGGGAGGGTCTAGCGGCGGCGGTTGAGGGAGGGTCTAGCGGCGATTGTCAGATTTCTCTGTGGCCCGCTAGCAATATACTGTCGCTACATTTCAGCGTTATCTTTGAACAACAAAATTACTTCGAAGAAATGCAGCATTTTGGGCCCTGCAGACTTCTGATAAAAACACCCGAGCGTCCTTAATCTTTCAATCCTCACACAAAAAATTGACTATAATAATCTCTTCTTCTGGACGCAGCAAGCTTTTCAGCCGCTTAACATCTGCCCGTCTATCAGTTCGTTTTACTCAAGTTTCATGTTCGACACTGAAATTCTGCCTTGTGACTCTCACTTTCAAAATAATCGCGTATAGATTTTAACGCTGATAATTCAACATTCAAGACCTTCAAAAACACAAGTTACACAGATATTTCAAGGTACAAGAGGAAGCCTATCTTGAACAGACATACCTACCCCCAATATTCTTGCAGTTGGAGCGGTTTTGGTTGCAGCCCTCTCTGTCCCTGGTACTGATGGCGGGTATTGGACTTCAGGAGCTCATACGACTCGCCAAGATCAGGAAGACTATCATGATGCCTGTTGCTTTTCTTATTCTGGCTGCTAGAATCGTAAGTGAAGCGGGAGAGAAGGCGTGGGATAGTTAAATAGTTAATTATCGCTGTTTTTATCGTTTTGTTTTCGAACTTTGAATGCTCCTTGATATAATTATTTATTAAATATAATGATTATCTCACAAAATATAATAGGCTGAATATTTAAAATATATTTACCTTCTCGTCAAACAAACCAAACACCACTTCTCCGTTTTCAGCACAGCAACTACGGTCTGTGTGACCAAAGTGGGAATTATCACGTGGAGGAGTTTGGCCGACACGTGTTATCTCAACTTCCTAACAACACAATACTGCTAACTAGTGGCGACCTCAGTACTAACACTTTCAGGTTTAAAACCAAACACAAGGGTTTGTTTTTTTAGTAGATATTACTTCAGTAGTCAGTATTAAAACTTTCATGTTTAAAACCAAACACAAGGATTTGCTTTTTTAGTAGATACTAATTCAGTAGTCAGTATTAAAACTCCCCGGTTTAAAACCAAACACAAGGACTTGTTTTTTAAGGCGAGGCAATGATGTTAATATTGTGTGACATACCAGTGTTTTGTTTTCTTTGCGATTTTAATTTTTACTGGATGTGGGTTTTTACTTTTTATGTGGTTGTCAAATCAAATAATGATTACGTTTACAAAACCTTACTAATTCATACTATTAGGCAGATACCTCACGATAATGATTACGTTTACAAAACCTTACTAATTCATACTATTCTGCAGATACCTAACATTTACAAAACCCTTACTAAATACTAATTCATACTATTCTGCAGATACCTAACGATAATGATTACGTTTACAAAACCTTACTAATTCATACTATTCTGCAGATACCTAATATTTACAAAACCCTTACTAATTCATACTATTTTACAGATACCTAACGATAGCGGAGAACGTAAGACCAGATGTGGATGTGTTGGATCTATCCTTTATCGGATCTAGATGGTTTATACCTATCTTGGGACACCACATGGACACTGTAAAATTCCCCGGTATCGGGTAAGTGATGTGGCGACGTCACGTTACTTTGCTGTGACGTCACGTGATATTATGGTGACGTTACGAGATTTATGGTCGTGTAGGGAATGACTCCTGTAATACGACGGCACTTGGAAATATGATATTCCGATGGGTATAGTGTATACCATCGTGTTTTCTTCTCGATGCTATAACATTTTTCTTCAACTATCCAATTATTTAATTTATTAATGAGATAATTATAATTAGATGAGTATCTCGTCAGGTACTCGCCTCAAGCGACGTGGAACAGTCGTCTCTACGACTTAGAACAGTTTTTAGACCACAATCTCGCTTCCAGACCCGTCTTTGTGTGTTTAAAACCCCGGAGTATAGACACTGTTTCTCTGCGAAAATACAACGTTCTACCGTACTCCTTCTGTAGTCAGGTAACGTACTCCTTCTGTAGTCAGGTAACGTTCTCCTTCTGTAGTCAGGTAAAGTACTCCTTCTGTAGTCAGGTAACGTACTCCTTCTGTAGTCAGGTAACTTACTCCTTCTGTAGTCAGGTAACGCACTCCTTCTGTAGTCAGGTAACTTACTCCTTCTGTAGGGGGGGGGGTACCAATGGCATAAATGGCGTAATGGAGAATTGGCCAAACAAAATTTCCATTTATGCCATGAAATTCTATGCCATTTGATGAATTTTATGCCATTTTTCTCCATTCTATGCCATTGGTACCCCCCCTTCTGTAGTCAGGTAACTTACTCCTTCTGTAGTCAGGTAACGTTCTCCTTCTGTAGTCAGATAACGGACTCCTCCTGTAGTCAGGTAACTTACTCCTTCTGTAGTCAGGTAACGTACTCCTTCTGTAGTCAGGTAACGTTCTCCTTCTGTAGTCAGGTAACGTTCTCCTTCTGTAGTCAGGTAATGTTCTCCTTCTGTAGTCAGGTAACGTACTCCTTCTGTAGTCAGGTAACGTTCTCCTTCTGTAGTCAGGTAACGTTCTCCTTCTGTAGTCAGGTAACGTACTTCTTCTGTAGTCAGGTAACGTACTCCTTCTGTAGTCAGGTAACGTACTCCTTCTGAAGTCAGGTAAAGTACTCCTTCTGTAGTCAGGTAACGTACTCCTTCTGTCACTGGGAGACTTTGGGACCGGAAACTGATCCGGCCCCCAAAGAGGGGTCAGATCACGTCACCAATTAGTGACGTATAATTAGTGATGTGGTCCATGGATTGAATTTAATTGACATAGAAATGTGCTAGATCTGGGGTAGAGTTCACATGTCAATTCTGTAAATCATAGCTGTACATTAAGAAGTAAACATGATCTGACTGCTCGACTCGTAGATCACATAAGGGACGGACGGAGCTCTTGCTAAAGGGGGGGTTCTCGTATCAAGGGATGTGAGACGTACGTGTCAAAGGCATGCAAGGGGAGTGAGCCGATCTAGTGTTCTAGGTATTAAATATTGGGTGATAGAAGGTAGTAGTATCGCATTCTATCAACAGTCATGCCTACCTTCTCCAAGTTCCTCAACGGTTTCAGAGGATGTCAACAGGTGCTTGATTCTGACCAGGAGGTGACCGGGACATGATTTCAGGCCTGACCGGGACCGGGATACAAAATGTGACTTGACCGGGACTGAGATTCAAAGAGATTATCAATTTACCGGGACCGGGACCGGGATGAAAAATGTGACTTGACCGGGACCGGGATAGCTCAAAATTGCCAATTCCGGTCGATTACTGGTTAATTCATGATCATAATTTATTACTCAAACTTGTTTAGCAATTTTAAACATTGTTGTATTTGGCTCAGAGGATGTTTGAAGATGTTGCTCTAAGGAGCAACAGACTATCATCTGGATCGGCTTGCTGTTGGAAAGACTCCTTCCAGCAGTATTCTGTACGACCTTTGTTCTTTCTACACGACATACCCAACTCATATGAACTCTACCCCAGATCTAGCCCATTTCTAGGTCAATTATATTCAATCCATGGATCACATCACTAATTATACGCCACAAGCTTCAAGCTTGCATGTTAATTACTTGATGACGTATATGGTGGATCATATCACTCCGGCCCCAAAGTCTGGCAGCCCCTTCTGTAGTCAGGTAACTTACTCCTTCTGTAGTCAGGTAACGTTCTTCCGTACTCCTTCTGTAGTCAGGTAGCGACGTGATCATGTGATATTTCGATGACGTCACGTGGTATAGTGGTGATGTCACGTGGTATCGTGGTGACGTCACGTGGTATTGTGGTGACGTCAATTTGACCGAGTAGATGGTAAGTTGTGAAGGCCCGTCATCAAGTGGCACCCAGCCACTCACAGCACGCCCTCAGGTCACGTGACAGCACGTCACAAGGGTCACGTGACAGATCACATGTCATGTAACCACGTGACAAGCTCGTCAATCAAATGTCAAGGTCACGTGACAAGATAATTGACCAATGAGGAGCCAGAACGTCATGATGAATCAATCAATAATCCCGACTAAAGGATCTAAAGTCTGATTAAACGGTTGCCAAGCAGGTTCCTGTTATTTGATTACCGGTCACGTGTTTAGCTTAAGCATCATGTGACATGAATGTTATTGAACCTCGAGATCACGTGACAGGAGTCACTTGATTACCCGTCAGAACGTCATGATGAATAATTCAATAATCCTGTCTAAAGGATCTAAAGTCAGATTAAACGGTTGCCAAGCAGGTTCCTGTTATTTGATTACTGGTCAAATGATTGTTCACGATTTACCCCGGTCCAGTCACCACTCCAAATAAGCAGAGGGTGACATAACGAAATGTGGTGTAGGGTTACCATCGCTCGACCTCCTGGAAATTACAAGTCTTATCATCAATTTTCTGACATTTAAGCAATAGCTACAGTATCTGAACCACATTTTCACCCTTTAAGATATAACAACTGTTAGGTAGCCTAGTGGTTAGAACATCCGTCTTCTGCACAAAAGGTTCAGGGTTCAAAGTCGAGTCTAGGGAGTAGCTAAGGCTCCATACCATTCACTATTATTAACTATTAAATTTGCTTGTTATAAATTTGATAAATTTCGAGAGACAAATAAAACTACCGTTTAATTGATAATTTGTTGTTGTCAACATTATAATCATAAATTGAAATCATCAAGAGTAAGATTGGGTACATAAATCATTGTATAACAGTTGCACGTTAATGGTGTTCTAGTACAGGTAGTTAGTTCCACCAACTACTTATTCAGATAAAGTTTGAGAATCTTATCGACAATAGTTGTGTTTTCGTTCATCAGTTTGTTTACATCAGATAGACTTGTAGTGGTGATAACTGCATCCAATAGAGATCGTTCTTCCAAACTTAAAATATCTGTTAGGTCTTCTCCGCTGTCAATTAAACGCTGCTTCAAGACAACAAACAATTCGGTTTTCATCATGTATGAGAATAAAATGTCAAAACATTTATTTTGCTCTTTACACAATTTACTTTGTAACAGGACGTCTAGAGATTTAAGTAAACTCGATATCTTTTTACTGTTTGGTTGTTTGATTGGTACTCCTTTCCGCTTGCCTACGTTTTGCCAGTCAGTATCAGATTCTAACTCTTTAGCACTATATTCTTTGTTGGACTCATCATCGCTACTTGTTACACCACTAAATTCATCATCACCACTACCTGGTACATCAGAGTTAGAACCACCTTGCTGAGATTCTTCAGAAACTATTGTATCAGCATCTGAACATACAGAATCAGGACCCTCCATTTTAACATCAGTCACATCTGAGTTAGCTTTTGACAGCGGCAGTAGAATTGCAGAACTTTCATCTGACTCTCGGTTCTCTCGATGATACCTACTAATGTGTGAGGACAGACTATATTTATTGGCAAAAGACTTGTCACAGAATGAGCAGGTTACAGAATTCTAACTGCAGTACAAACGTTTTATAATGCTATGCAACAACCATTATATAGCAATAATCGCATAAAATCGCAAATAATCTCAAAATAATCGCATATAATCGCATATAATAGCATATAATAGCATATAATGGCATAAAATTGCAAATAATCGCATATAATTGCAAAATAATTCCACAAAATAGCATATAATAGCATATAATCGCATATAATCGCATATAATAGCATAATAATAGCATATAATCACATTTAATCACATATATAATCACGTATATTATCTCTTAAAATCACATTTTATTATTTATACTCGCAAATAATTGCATATACTTGCAAATAATCACATATAGTAGCAGGGTGAATATGATCCAACTTACGCATTTCAACCTATTAAAGATCTTTTCAAAGATTTATTTTCATGCTGATTGCCAAGCATCATCCTGGAGATGGAACTGTAACTCTTGAGTCTACCAAAGACTGCACCCAACATGTAGGAATACTTCCCTAGTGGGGACTTAAAGGACCACACCAGACAGGACAAGGAGATCATGGTAAATTCTACGTCAACTAGTCAGACGGAGATCATCTTCGAGATCTATCACTTTCTGGATTATCATTCATAACCAGTAGTCGGCGCACCATTGATTTCTGCTTTCAAATGATAACTGCTAATACTCTTGTCGATTTTATTGCACAGAAACCAGCATTTGACCGGGACCGGGACGGGAATAGCTCAAAATTGTCAATCCCGGTACCGGGATTCCCGGTACCGGGAATTCCCGGTCGATTACTGGTGCATGCAACTGGCCAGGTTTAGGTATCAGGTGATTTTTCCTGCAATTGGTAGTTGTGAAACATCACCTTGGATTTCTGTTGTCACAAAACGTACCTTTTTAGACCTTTTCTCAAATCATATAATAGCATATAATAGCATATAATCACATATAATAGCATATAATAGCATATAATAGCATATAATCGCATATAATCGCATGTAATATCATTCCGATCACATATATAATCCATTGGGTGGGCGAAAATTGTCCCCCCGACAATTGACCCCCGATAATTGACCCCCCGACAATGTAACTCAATACAACATCACCTCATACCATACTCCTCACGGTTCTCTTGATCTAGGAAGAATGCACCTCCTTGTTGTGGTGTGCCACACTCCACATGAATAGATTCTTGGAAAATTCAGATGCTCTCCCCCATAGCTAGTGGCACAGACGGAATCGAACCCGGGACCCTGTGAATGCGAGACATTTCACAAGCAGGCAGACTAACGACTGTGCCACATAGCCATTTATAACTATAATGTATTATTTTAAAACTGACAAGCTCGTAAATGAAATGTCAAGGTTACGTGACAAGTTAATTGACCAATAAGAAGCAAGTACGTTATATAGCATCCGTCACGTGATATTCGTAACGATCTTGTTAAAAATGTTCATATTTTCATTTTAACAGCGGTCCATCTGGAGCCTCAGGTTGGTGAGTTAACGGCAACTTTCCTATGCAGGACAATGCGGGTTCAAATCCGCCTAGCCTACTTCTCCAGATGGATCGCTCTTTTAAAACATTTAATTTTATCTATTTAAACGTAACGACCATTGGTATTCATTTAAATGCGATTATAAAATATTATATGCTATTATATGCGATTATATGAATATATGTTGGAGATGGAACTAGAACTCTTGAGTCTACCGAATGCGATTATATATGCTATTATATGCTATAATAAGCTATCATATGCGATTATATGATATTATATAATGCTATTATATGCGATTATATGATATTATATGCTATTATATGCAATTATATGCTGGCGATTGAACTGTAATTCTTGAGTCTACCGAATGCGATTGTATGTTATTATTATATGCAATTATATGCTATTATATGCTATTATATGCTATTATATGATATTATATGATATTATATGCTATTATTTGCGATTATTTTCAGTATTCATTCAGTATTCATTCAGTATTCATTCAGTATTCATTCAGTATTCATTCAGTATCATTCAGTATTCATTCAGTATTCATTCAGTATTCATTCAGTATTCATTCAGTATTCATTCAGTTATTCATTCAGTATTCATTCAGTATCATTCAGTATTCATTTAGTATTCATTCAGTATTTCATTCAGTATTCGGCATTTATTCAGTATTTAGCGGATTTGTTCATGTGGAGTGTGGCACATCACAACAAAAGTACCTCCTCTAGATCAAGAGTATCGTGAGATTTGTCCATGTGGAGTGCGGCACACCACAACAAAGGTGCATTCTTCTAGATCAAGAGAACCGTGAGGAGTATGGTATGAGGTGATGTTGTATTGAGTTTCATTGTCGGGGGGGGGGGGTCAATTATCGGGGGGTCAATTGTCGGGGGGACAATTTTCGCCCACCCAATGGATTATATATGTGATCGAATGATATTACAAGCGATTATATGCGATTATATGCTAATTATATGCTATTATATGCTATTATATGCTATTATATGTGATTATATGCTATTATATGCTATAATATGCTTTGAGAAAAGGTTCTAAAAAGTTACGTTTTGTGACAACAGAAATCCAAGGTGATGTTTCACAACTACCAAATTGCAGGAAAAATCACCTGATACCTAAACCTGGCCAGTTGCATGCACCAGTAATCGACCGGGATTCCGGCTACCGGGAATCCCGGTACCGGGATTGACAATTTTGAGCTATTCCCGGTCCCGGTCCCGGTCAAATGCTGGTTTCTGTGCAATAAAATCGACAAGAGTATTAGCAGTTATCATTTGAAAGCAGAATCAATGGTGCGCCCGATACTGGTTATGAATGATAATCCAGAAAGTGATAGATCTCGAAGATGATCTCCGTCTGACTAGTTGACGTAGAATTTACCATGATCTCCTTGTCCTGTCTGGTGTGGTCCCTTTAAAGTCCCCCTAGGAAGTATTCCTACATGTTGGTGCAGTCTTTTGGTAGACTCAAGAGTTACAGTTCCATCTCCCAGGATGATGCTTGGCAATCAGCATGAAAATAAATCTTTGAAAAGATCTTTAATAGGTTGAATGCGTAAGTTGGATCATATTCACCCTGCTACTATATGTGATTATTTGCAATTATATGCAATTATTTGCGAGTATAAATAATAAAATGTGATTTTAAGAGATAATATACGTGATTATTATGTGATTAAATGTGATTATATGCTATTATATGCTATTATATGCGATTATATGCGATTATATGCTATTATATGCTATTTTGTGGAATTATTTTGCAATTATATGCGATTATTTGCAATTTTATGCCATTATATGCTATTATATGCTATTATATGCGATTATATGCGATTATTTTGCGATTATTTGCGATTTTTATGCGATTATTGCTATATAATGGTTGTTGCCATAGCATTATAAACGTTTGTACTGCAGTTATGAATTCTGTAACCTGCTCATTCTGTGACAAGTCTTTTTGCCAATAAATATAGTCTGTCTCACACCTTAGTAGGTATCCATCGAGAGAACCGAGAGTCAGATGAAAGTTCTGCAAATCTACTGCGCTGTCAAACGCTAACTCAGATGTGGACTGATGTTTTAAAATGGAGGGTCCTGATTCTGTATGTTCAGATGCTGATACAATAGTTTCTGAAGAATCCTCAGAAGGTGGTTCTAACTCTGATGTACCCAGGTAGTGGTTGATGATGAATTTAGTGGTGTAACAAAGTAGCGATGATGAGTCCAACAAAGAATATAGTGCTAAAGAGTTAGAATCTGATACTGACTGGCAAAAGTAGGCAAGCGGAAAGGAGTACCAATCAAAACAAACCAAACAGTAAAAAAGATATCCGAGTTTACTTAAATCTCTCGACGTCTGTTACAAAGTAAATTGTGTACAAAAAGAGCAAAATAACTGGTTTTGACATTTTATTCTCATACATGATGAAAACCGAATTGTTTGTTGTCTTGAACGCAGCGTTTAATTGACAGCGGAGAAGACCTAACAGATATTTCAGTTTGGAAGAACGATCTCTATTGGATGCAGTTATCACACTACAAGTCTATCTGATGTAAACAAAATGATGAACGAAAAACACAACTTTGTCGATAAGATTCCTCAACTTATATCTGAATAAGTAGTTGGTGGAACTAACTACCCTGTACTAGAACACCATTAACGTGCAACTGTTATACCAATGATTTATGTACCCAATCTTACTCTTGATGATTTCAATTTATGATTATAATGTTGAAAACAACAAATATCAATTAAACGGTAGTTTTTATTTGTCTCTCCGAAATTTATCAAATTTATAACAAGCAAATTTAATAGTTAATAATAGTGAATGGTATGGAGCCTTAGCTACTCCCTAGACTCGACTTTGAACCTGAACCCTTTTGTGCAGAAGACGGATGTTCTAACCACTAGGCTACCTAACAGTTGTTATATCTTAAAGGGTGAAATGTGGTTCAGATACTGTAGCTATTGCTAAATGTCAGAAAATTGATGATAAGACTTGTAATTTCCCAGGAGGTCGAGCGATGGTAACCCTACACCAACATTTCGTTATGTCACCCCTCTGTTATATGGAGTGGTGACTGGACCGGGGTAAATCGTGAACAATCATTTGACCAGTAACTCAAATAACAGGAACCTGCTTGGCAACGTTTAATCTGACTTTAGATCCTTTAGACAGGATTATTGAATTATTCAATCATGACGTACTGACGGGTAATCAAGTGATCCATGTCCAGTGATCTCGAGGTTCAATAACATTCATGTCTCATGATGCTTAAGCTAAAACACGTGACCGGTAACAAATAACAGGAACCTGCTTGGCACCGTTTAATCAGACTTTAGATCCTTTAGTCGGGATTATTGATTGATTCATATGACGTTCTGGCTCCTCATTGTCAATTATCTTGTCACGTGACCTTGACATTTGATTGACGAGCTTGTCACGTGGTTACATGACATGTGATCTGTCACGTGACCCTTGTGACGTGCTGTCCCGTGACCTGAGGGCGTGCTGTGTGGTGGCTGGGTGCCACTTGATGACGGGCCTTCACAACTTACCATCTACTTGACCGTACTCTGCTATTTACCCAGGACAACGTATAATAACGATCAATCAAGGCTCCACGATCTAACTAAAACAACCTCTCAGTTTTTACCTAAAGGAGCAGTAGACCCGCTGATATACGGTAAGACGATCCCAACTCCTAACCTAGATACGTATCTACCTCCCAGAACGGAAATATTCGGGGAACAAACCTGGGAGAACGTGCTTATACATGAGTACTGGGATGCGCTGTGAGTGCTATAATTAGCAATCAATTAGTGCTATAATTAAGAGTGAATTAGTGCTATAATTAGCAATCATAGATGTTTTCAACCCAGGCATTTGCAAATTGTTCGATATTAATTGACTCGATTGTTAAAATCAGTACTAAAACAACAACTGTTATAATACATATGTATGTATAAATTGTTAATAAATATGACCTGCAATTGTGACCCAACTTTACAACAGGGTAAAACCAGGGAGGTACCTATGGGATGCTGGAGAGAACACGCGGCACGTGGACAAGAAGAAACAGCTTTATCTGGCAGCTTACGAGGTTTGAGTGCTCAATTAGATGGTTAATAGATGTGGATACTGGCGGGGAGGTGATAATTGTTTGTTTACATTAATAGTGAGCCATGTTAAGCAGGCTGAGGAGGTGATACTTGTTTGTTTACATTTTAGGTCGAGCAATGTTAAGCAGGCTGAGGAGGTGATACATATTTTGTATTTTAGAAGGCTTGTAACATTGTAACGCCTCTCCTTGATAACCCCTTTGAGGACCCCGAATTATTTTTCTGAACGAAAGCCTCAAAAATAACGAGAAATCGCCTTCTTATTAACTCCTTTTGATGACTGTTTCTTGACCTAAAATTGCACGGAAAAAATCGATTAGCTAGGTTTCAGAACCTATAAACACTTCCTTATCCCTCAAAATTGATGTTTTATAGTTAATACGACAACAAGCAACATTTTATTTTTGATCCTTCCGGTTCTACTCCTGACCTAGACAGTTCAGCTGAACCCGACAAGATTGAGGAATCCTCACCTTAACTGATCAAACTGGTACTAACACAATTTTCAGATATAAATGTTCTCTTGCGATTACGGTTATTGCAGCTTTGCAACTTGAGTGAGACCAGGTACGAAAACACACAGCAGGTAAGCAACTCACTTTTGGTGACTGTTCCTCACGAACATTCTGATCATGTAACATATGAACAGGGAGAGATCGTCTCCTTAACAAATCGAACAGGTACTATCACAAATTTCCAGAGGCACAGCATGATAAAAAAGTCAAAAGAACACAATGAAGGTAGGTTACCAACACCACAATATAACAATCATACTGACAACTGAATTAAATGTATTAATTAACAGCAAACTGTACATATTACAGCAAACTGTACTTATCTCCGCAGTTCAGCCGAGACATACTATAACTAAAAAATTATGTTATTATTCTGTTCCTGACTGGACGATAAGCATCACAGTCAGTTGGAGGAGCGACCAACACACTATCAAGATCGGTTGTTTATCTTAAACCCCATCCCCCCCCCCCCCCCCCCCCCCCCCCCCCCCCCCCCAACAGTTTGTAATGTACGTGGGCGATGGGCACGGTTATATAAGTGTACAACAATCACACTATTTCAAGTTCATGACGTAATCATGGCGTGTTTACCGCGGTGCAGATATTGCACGCGGACCTTGCCGAGTCAAGATGTGGTAGAGATAACAATGTGAACAGAGGGTCAAATAAAGATAAGGAAAGTAAACACACGATATCGATCTGCTCACTTTTCCTGTTTGTGATTGGACGGATCGGTGTCACATGACATAACACCTCTATTACAAGTGGTCGCTCGTTGAGGACCACGGAGCACATCAGGGCTGCCCGTCGTCAGAATACATTTAATTCAGTTGTCAGTATGATTGTTATCTTGTGGTGTTGGTAACCTACCTTCATTGTGTTTCTTTTGACTCTGTTATCATGCTGTGCTCTGGAAATTGTGATAGTACCTGTTCGATTTGTTAAGGAGACGATATCCCTGTTCATATGTTACATGATCAGAATGTTCGTGAGGAACAGTCACCAAAAGTGAGTTGCTTACCTGCTGTGTGTTTTCGTACTCTGGTCTTCACTCAAGTTGCAAAGCTGCAATAAACGTATCGCAAAGAACATTTATATCTGAAAATTGTGTTAGTACCAGTTTGATCAGTTAAGGTGAGGATTGCCTCAATCTGTCGGGTTCAGCTTAACTGTCTAGGTCATGAGTAGAACCGAAGGATCAAAATATATGTTGCTTGTTGGTCGTATTAACTATAAAACATCAATTTTGAGGGATAAGGAAGTGTTTATAGGTTCTGAAACCTAGCTAAATCGATTTTTCGTGCAATTTTAGGTCAGAAACAGTCATCAAAATGAGTTAATAAGAAGGTCGATTTCTCGGTTATTTTTGAGCTTTCGTTCAGAAATAATTCGGGGTCCTCAAAGGGGGGTAACAAGAAGGCGTTACAAGTGTTACAAGCCTTCTATAATACAAAATATGTATCACCTCCTCAGCCTGCTTAACATGTGCTCGACCTAAATGTAAACAAACAATTATCACCTCCTCAGCCTGCTTAACATGTGCTCACTATTAATGTAAACAAACAATTATCACCTCCCCGCCAGTATCCACATCTATTGGTTAATTATACTAATTACAACACTACAAATCTGGTTTGTCTGGAATTTCCATATTTTCGATGCAGTGTGGCGACAGCACGAACATCTCTATCTTACCCTCCTCGCGTAATTTTTGATTACGTAATATAGGAGGGGGATTGGGTCTTGATTACGGGGGGGGGGGGGGGGGGGGGGGGGGGGGGGTTCGGTCTTGATTAGGTTGATTACGGAGGGGGGGGGGTAAAAATTGCCAAAATATTGATTACGTAATATGTGAACGACCCCTAAACGGCTAGTTCCACTTTTCATTATTATTTAAACATATTATTTTATCTTTCAGTACCTGTTCCGAGCTAAAGAAGTTATCTCAACTAAAATTAACGACGGATCTATCAGCCCCCTGTCATGGAACCACACCTCCTATTTCAGGTAATGGGGGGGGGGGGGGGGGGTTAGAAAATAAGGGTTCTCGCCCGGTTAGAAAGCGAAAGGTTTTTTAAGTTACTTTACGTCAGACGTAAAGGAAATACTAAGTTTATCTTTTTACGATGGTAAGCTCGGATAAATACAGGAACCATTAGAATCTTGGCGGTGCTTAAAGTGCCTCAGTGCCTCAATGGGTAACAAGGTCGTCTCGACCTTGGCAGTTATGCTCGGAGGATTATTATTATGGCCATATATTATTATAATCTGACAAATTTTCTTTATCGCAATTAAGAAATCACAATAATATTGAGAGAATGGCAAATTGTTCAAAATAAACAGCATTTTAGCCAATTATCATACAATCTAATTACTTAATTAACCAATCAACTTATGACCCACAGCAAGTACCTAGGAGTACAGTGCAGGCAGCTGTGGGTCCACACCACTGGACGGAGCACTGGAGGTCTGGGAGCCAAGTACGAGGAGTGCCAGAGAAAGCACTTTACTGATTACATCGAGAGTGCTGCCAACCTTACCAGGTCAGTAATTAGGTGATTAGGTGATTAGCTTGTTAATGAGTTAATTTGCTACTTTATTAATTGGAAACACGATGATAAAATAGTTTGTTTATATTTTTCGGGATAGAGGTTATTGGCATCGTTGTTAAGTACGCCGAAAATCTGGTAAAAAATACGCAGTTTGTCAAAATTCTAAGAAATACGTGGAATACATCTTTCGGTTTCAACAAATTTTGTATGCTAAATTTTTTCCAGATACGCACGTATTTCTTGCGATAAACTTGCTACACGTTGTATACCTCTCGTGCACGCGAAGCGTGATCGAAAGGGGCGCGATCAAAAGGGGTTACAGTGTGTGTCAACGATAAACGTATCCGCAAAGTACGCAAGTTCATCAGCTGCCACGCGTCGCACATCTGACATCATAATCTGCCTAATCAATAATCGGCATCATAATCTGCTTGGATACAAATTGCTAATCAGTAATCGGCATCATAATCTGCTTGAATACAATTTGCTAATCAGTAATCGACATCATAATCTGCTTGAATACAATTTGCTAATAAGTAATCAGCATCATAATCTGCTTGAATACAATTTGCTAATCAGTAATCGGCATCATAATCTGCTTGAAAACCCAAAATGGTCATTTTAATGTCTGCCGCATGGTCGCAGGTCGAAATTACAGATTTGAACGAAGTACGCAAAACACTCTTGAGAAATACGTATTGGTATGCCGTACGTTTATAAGATACGTTATACGTACTTAACATCCTTGGTTATTCGATAATATGATCGTGAGACAAATATTGAAATAAAATACGAGATTATAATTGTTTCGTGATGTTGATATAAGCCTAGTCAGAGCGTCACATGGTTAATAGACACTGTCATACTTAATTGATATAAGTACTATAATGGTCACTGGTCACTGGCCACTGGTCACTGGTCACTGGTCACTGGTCACTGGTCACTGGTCACTGGTCACTGGTCACTGGTCACTGGTCACTCACTGGTCACCGGTCACTCACAGTCACTGGTCACTCACTGGTCACTCACTGGTCACCGGTCACTCACAGTCACTGGTCACTCACTGGTCACTCACTGGTCACTCACTGGTCACTGATGACCATAAGTTATACCTTTATACCAGTACACGTGGCTTTCGATCTGAGATTATACCGATCTGTTAACAAGCTGCTTTGTAGTTTGCGTGGTTAACCGTTTTCTGATGTGGATGGTGCCCACTGCTCTGCTGGACTAAAGTGTTTAAACATAATACTAACTTACTAAGGGCAGGGCGGCATATTTTGTCGTCTAGTTCTGCATAACAAATAACGGTTAATTATTTCAGGAAAATTGACAAAGATTTCGACAACATTGTTATGCTGCTTCAAAATCCAGGGATGTAAATGGTATGTACATTGTAAATTGTACATTTACATTGTACGTGGACGACATCCTTCTACCTGTTCACGGTTAACAGCGTATCTCTATCACAATCAATATATTTCAAATACTTGGAGTGTAATTTATGCTCCATGCTATGACCCTACGTGCAAATTTTCATTGAATTTTTGTGAAGTTTTCAATTTTTAAGTTGACTATAATTTTTAAGTTAAACTATAATTTTAATATTCGCAAATTGAAATGACACTGTCGTAGTCTGACCAGGTTTTTATCTGTTTTTATTTAGTTATTTTAGCAGTTGTTCTTGCATGCTGTAGTAAGTTATTGAAACAATGTTCATTTTCCAATTCAAATTGTTTTATTTTATTGTTATTTATTGGTTATTTATGAAATTAAGGTCCTTATCTTGTTTTCCATATTATCAGAATTCGAATTTTTAATTTTTTGGCTCAACTATTCCTTTATTGGCAAACCTTAATTCTTTGAAAATATGGAATGTCTATTTGAACGTTATTATGAATTTATTGTTGAACTGGTCGACTGTTTGTTTTCTCTCTATGTTTAATTGTTATTAATCAAACTATTTATGCGGTATGCAAGCTACAGTAAATTGTTGTGAATTCAAAATTATTTGAGCTGGTATGTAGCGTAATTGATTATGTTCTGATGTGGAAAATTTCCATTTACTTTATTCTTTTCGGAAAATACAGAAATTCATACAAATGATATGAATATACTGAGAAACTTACTTTATAGGGGTGTAAACAGAATGATTAGGAAATACAACTTATAGAAGCTCTTCTCTCATGTCAAATCTTTGCTATTAGTAATGCAATATGTATCCAGCATTTTTAGTTTTATTTGATTCAAGCTGTTCGAATGGTTGTGTTTATTTTATTCTTGTGTATTCTTGTAAAAATAAAGCGACTCAAGCGTATTTTGTAACAGTGCACCCCACACAGTCTTGATGAATCTTATCAGTCATTGTTTTGTGAATACCTTTATTGCTAAGTCACGGATATGAATCATCACAGAACTGCTTGATCATACAACAAACCCTTGGCCCGCCAGCCCGATTTACCAGATTAAGAGCATGTTCTTGAAAATTGCTAGGCTAAAGATATTCTGAAATAAAATATGAATTGCTCAGAACCGCTAAATCATATAGTAAACTCGTGTCCCATTTGTAAGTAGATAACTCACGTAATTGGTGCATCAGAATTGCTTAAAAATTTCAGAGAATATAGATATGGGTCAAACTTAGATTTCCGGACCTTTACTGATAGTTGAAATTCGACATATGACGTCATCTAGCGTCATCTAGCGTCATCTAGCGTGAAATATCGCCAGATGATGATAGATGACGCTAGATGACGCTAGATGACGCTAGATGACGCTAGATGACGCCAATTAGCGACATTGTCGCTAAGTGCACGGCACCTTTCGAATGTCGCTATCTAGCGCTATCTAGCGCTATCTAGCGCTATCTAGCGCTATATGACGCTATATGACGCTAGATGACGCTAGATGACGCTAAGCACGCAGCACTGACGCCAGGCGACAGATAGCGCTATTTTCATAAAATTTCCGCCTTTTTTTTGCGACATCTAGCGCTATCTAGCGCTATCTAACGCTATATGTCGCAACGACATCTGACGCAGCGCTATCTAGCGCTATCTAGCGCTATCTAGCGCTATCTAGCGGAGAATGTCGGTCTGTGACAGTTTACGCTAGATAGCGCTATCTAGCGCTAGATATCGTGGCGACAGCTAGCGCTAGATAGCGCGGCGTCATCTAGCGCTATCTAGCGTAAACTAGCGCTAGCTAATGAATAATGTCGGTTTGCGACAGTCCACGCTAGATAGCGCTATCTAGCGCTATCTAGCGCTAGATATCGTGGCGACAGCTAGCGCTAGATAGCGCTAGATAGCGCTATCTAGCGTAAACTAGCGCTAGCTAATGAAGAATTTCGGTTTGCGACAGTCCACGCTAGATAGCGCTAGATAGCGCGGCGCCATCTAGCGCTATCTAGCGTAAACTAGCGCTAGCTAATGAAGAATGTCGGTTTGCGACAGTCCACGCAGTACGCGTAGACACATGGCTATCATGTCACATGTGAATCCAAACCCTCACCCCAAAGCTATCAAAGTTATTTAGCCTTAATTGACGATGTCAATTCATCGCAGCTCGGCGAGGCACAGAAGCGCATTTCGCAGATCTAGCGAGAAGCATAATTGGATGCGCGGCGCGGCACAGTAACGCTTATAGCTTAATTTGCAGAATAACTTGCAATTTGGTAACGTATAATATGTGCTAAATTTTGTACGAACAAGTAAATTATTTGATCATTGTTAATGGACTAGCCCGAAGCGACGTGCGCTACTTCGTACATCTTGGCTTGGACTAATAGTTTGAGAAAAAGCGGCGCGTGATAGAAAATCAATGTTTTGATGGTTTGGCGAATGTTGACGATGTCATAGTCATACCTTATACCTTTCGTCTTTCCAGTTGGAGGTGCACGATAAAAATAAAGTTGCTCGGATTTTCAAAATTTTTGTTCACATTTTTTGGAGAGTGTGAGCCTTTTTACAATATAAATTTTTGTCATACGTTTTTGGAATCATCGGTGACTTTCGCATAGGTGCCAAAATTGGTGATGCGTGGCTTTGCGGGAGCAAAAGTTAATCTAAAACTTGCGTACTTTATCGAAATTCGAGGATTTTTGACGTATTATTCGGATATATTTTTGGTTCCTTGAATGAGATCATTCTGAAAATTTGTGAATCAAAAAACCTTCCAATAGGGCTTTCACAACTGTCCGAAAATTTAGTGGATTTTGGAGTTGATATAATAATTGATATTGACGATGTTTCACCTAACCATGTGCTTGCTTTCGCGCCACTTCGGGCGCGCTTGTTTCAGAGTTCAAGTCCACGAACCCTAATGTGAAGGTTCGTGCGCGCGCGCGCAGTGCTGACAACAGCGTCTATGTAGCGCATGTAGTCTTGGCACTTCTCCCTCCAGTATGCAGTAACCACTTTTCAGGTTCCTATAGTGCATAGTGACAGTGTATAGGGGTTAATTAGGTATAAACTACAGTACAGCTGTACTTACATTTACATTCACAAGCATGCAAGCTCACCTGGTCCAATGAGCGGGAAACGGACTACAAGGTCTGGTGACGTCATAGTCACGTGACAGCTCATACATCATAGGCTCATAATTACGTGACCTCAGACCCAATCAATGATTAATCAGGTTCGGGCATGGTCAGCCCCTGTCACCCGATCTTGAGGTGACTTATGACACCTCGTTTACGCAATCAATGTCTGAAAGGCTACACACGTTGCATATGAGGACAAAAGCGCGGGAAATTTTGGCACCCTATATGAGTGGTGCCAAAATCGTTGGGTGGGTTGCTGGCTAGAGCCCTTTTTACCGCCGTAAGGCTGGCGCGCGCTACTGCAAGCGCAAGGGCTCTGGATAGAGCAAAACGATGTCAACCCATCAAGTTCGGTGCTCTGCGAAGCAGAGCAACGATCGTTGCTCGATTCGAAGCGCAGCAAAAATGACAATTCGCGCGGCGCGTCGAAGTCCTTCAAATATAGAAATGAAAATTGGGCAAACGATGTTGCTTTGAGCATAATTGGATATGCTCTAAAATTTTCGGACAAATTCAGCTTGTAAGCCTTAGATCAGTAATGTCATCAAATTTTGTAAAAATCCTACAGTCGGCACGCGCGGCTCACTGTCGATGGCGCACTACCTATTTCCAGATCATTGCTTGGCGGTGGATATTTTACGCGGCGAAGCCCTTTAATTTTAAAAACCCCCGCAGGCGCAAGCAACCCTTGCTGCAAACGTCTTTTCCTCGTTGTCGTGGTAAAGTGTGACGAACGGAAATTTGATAGATTGAAAGCCCCCCCTCCCCCGCAATAGGGGATGGACTAATTTATTGTCCGCGTCATAATATCAATCAGTTTAAAAACACCTCGCCGGGCACTCTAAAAAAACTCTATCAAGGTTACTGGGCGGCGCTCTTTATTTTATGTTTATGAACATAATCATATATCGTACCCAAGAGTTTTCAGTTTACGAACTACGCTTGTAGCGCGATGCGTTACTGTGCCGCGCCGCGCACTCAATAAGGCTTTCACAGATCGGCGAGATGCGCTACTGTGTCGCGCCGCGCATCCAAAAATGCCTCTCGGCATCTAATAATGCTTTTCGGCGAGATGCACCACTGAGCTGTGAAAGATTGGCATCATGAATCAACGATGTTAGTTACTTGTATAAATTTCGTCGAAATCTAGTACGTGCCGCTTTTTTCCGATCTTGTAGGTTTACAACCTACCAGGACGCGCGCCGAGTTGGACTCGTCGACGGTCCTAATATATGGAACAGAGATTTTACGAGTATCACCCGTTAATTCCGATCCCGAAATGTTAAGGGTCGACGGTCGTTTACATATAACGTAATCAGCTGAGGAGGTTGGGGTTTCCAAATGATTATTGATTACGCTAGTGTAATATTGACATAGTAGCTATGGTAAAACTGATTACGGAGTATGTGAACGACCCCTCATTGTTAGTAATCAGTTCCATACATTGATTGACGATGACAATCCATCGAGATCGTTGCTCCATCGACGACGATCGATCGACGACGATCGATTCGATGCGAAGCAAAAATGCTAGTTTGCGCGGCGTGTCGAAGCGGCGAAGTCCTCCAATTCCATACATAGCTATTAAGCTATCAGTATTATGTCACAATCACACTAGTAAGCGTAATAATTTGAAAAACCCCGGCCGGCGGCATCAGGCCCCTTATATAATTATAATATGTAAACGACCCCTTGATTAAGCGATATTTAATATTTTGTTCCACTCAGCCGAATATTTAATAAATCGAGTGTAATAGTTGGGTGACTTCGACGCGCGCGCAAGCTTATAGTTATATCATTCTCACTTAAATTATAATTAATTTTCATACATAAAAATTAATTTTCATACAAAATAAAAATAACAAAAAAGATTGGGTGGGGAAAGACAGGCTGCACACACACACACACACACACACACACACACACACACACACACACACACACACACACACACACACACACACACACACACACACACACACACACACACACACACACACACACACACACACACACACACACACACACACACACACACACACACACACACACACACACACACACACACACACACACACACACACACACACACACACACACACACACACACACACACACACACACACACACACACACACACACACACACACACACACACACACACACACACACACACACACACACACACACACACATACACACAGGGTTAGGGTTACTGTTACTGTGATAGGATATGATATCTAGCGCTATATGACGCAACGACATCTGACGCAGCAACATATAGCGCTAGATAGCGACATCTAGCGCTAAATAGCCTGGACTGACACGACCCGAAATTCTTCGCTATTTAGCGCTATCTAACGCTATTTAGCGCTATCTAACGCCAGATAGCGCTATCTAGCGCTATATGTCGCAACAACATCTGACGCTATATAGCGCTATCTGGCGCTATATAGCGCTAGATAGCGTGAACTGTCGTAAACTGACCTATCCCGCTATCCAGCGCTTGATGTCGCCTGCGTCAGATGTCGTCGCGTCAGATGTCGTCAGATGTCGCTAGATGGCGTCAGATAGCGTCAGATAGCGTCAGATGTCGCGGCAACATATAACGCTAGATGACGCTAGATGTCGTCCCTAGAATTTTTATGAAAATAGCGCTATCTGTCGCCTGGCGTCAGTGCTGCGTGCTTAGCGTCATCTAGCGTCATCTAGCGTCATATAGCGTCATATAGCGTCATATAGCGTCATATAGCGCTAGATAGCGCTAGATAGCGCTAGATAGCGCTAGATAGCGCTAGATAGCGCTAGATAGCGACATTCGAAAGGTGCCGTGCACTTAGCGACAATGTCGCTAATTGGCGTCATCTAGCGTCATCTAGCGTCATCTAGCGTCATCTAGCGTCATCTATCATCATCTGGCGATATTTCACGCTAGATGACGCTAGATGACGCTAGATGACGTCATATGTCGAATTTCAACTATCAGTAAAGGTCCAGATTTCCTGGAATGTTCGTAAAATTTTATCAATTACAGAGGGTACGTGGCACACCACTCCCTCTTTTTCTCTTTTGTCACCATAAAGTGAGAACGTTTTGAGTTAAGAACTCCACAATTTCCAGACACATTTGGTTTGATAATTGAAGTGCTTTCCCAAAATTTCGAGTTAGTTGTTTACAACTAAGCCGAGTTATGACCCTTTTAAGATCTTTCGGATACGTAGGGAAACACAAGTTTACCGGAAAAATAAGGGTTCTTTTAGAAGTATTCTCCTAAATTACTATTATTCCATGCCACTCCTTCTGAAGTCCACCAGATGAATGCGATTAAAGTGAATCCACCTTAAGTGGATCATAGTAGATTGTTGGGGAGGAAATAGGAGTAAACAGTGAGTGGAGACTGTCATTTCGTCCTCAGAAATACGATAGACTAACAATCTCAGAAATAGACTACCCGTCAAAGTTTATATAATTTATATCTGTCTTACAAACCCGAGATAAATCCGACGCCGACAATCAATAAGACGAATAGCTTTCTGTCTGAAAATTATTATAGGTGAGTAAATTTGATAAACACATGTCAACATTGAACATCGAAAATATTGTGAATCAAAATGAATGACATTCAATGACTCAATGTTTGTGTTTAAGTGTTTATATACCAATAAACAAATATAGTGTAGATACCATAAATTTAGGCTTATCTGAACTAACTATCATTGAGAAATCTTAGCGTCATCATACCTGAAAAAATATGTACAGTAAAACCCCGATTTACAGCGGAGTTTGGGGGAAAGGAAACATAACATCCGTGTTAAAGCGGGATTCGTGGTAAATCGGGGTTTTGTTTGTTTATATACTGTCCCTGTCCCTGTCTCGGGACAGGGACAGGGACAGGGACAGGGACAAATTTATTTGCTTTGACATGTAGGAACAAAGGCTTTTCAGTTAAAGTACAATAATCTAATACCTGTAAGCGTAAATTAGATTTTGATTATATACTTTTAAATTTAACCCCGCAACCTTCACAGATCTAAATTAAATATTATGCACGTTTCAGGACAATTTTAAGTAAGTCAAGGTCGGCTGATTGATTTTGGGCAACTACTCGACTTCTGATCAAGGCAACACCCAGTACGTTTGCAAAAATAGCTGTTATACCGAGTTCCTCTGATTCGGACTTGAACTTCACCTCACAAGACTTTTAAATTAAATTTCAATGTCTTATAATACTCATAAATGATATCAATAAACAGTATGGGTAACCGTGAAGGGTTTATTCAATTTTTCTACGATTCTTTTTAGAGCCTTCTTAAATTTCAGTATTATCATAATTTTCAGTCGCTGTTCCTGGTACATTTTACGATAACGTAATGAATGTTAATTAAACTGGGACAAAAGTTTTCACTTTTGAGCAAACAGGGCGCGTTACGTTAATTATCCATGGTGTCCGAGTCCCCTACCACTACCAGTCAACATGTTGCACTCACACCACTAGGTGACCGCTCTCCACCAATAGGCTCGTTCAGAACTCTCTCTTTACTAAAAACCACCGGGAGCTCTAATTTTTTTTGATACAGTACTTCTTCATTCTTTCATTGTCCTCAGAGTTACACCTTTCGGCTCCTCAGCAATCCGTTTTCATTCCGTTGCATGAGCATACGATTATTCTAAATCGTATTATTAAAATGATAATATAACGTATGATGCAAACCAGCAAAATTAAGTTATTTCAACTTTCACGTTTAATTTAATTGTTAATCTTCACGTAATTATAACATGTGAATATCTCCTAGATTTTGGTCTAAGTAGCTATAATGACTGTTTATCAACATTTACTCTGCTGCATTGTTATACTGGTGTTATGCAACTTACAAGGAGGAGCCGAGGCTAAACGACGAAGAACCGGATCGGTAGGTGATTTAGATTCGAAATCTAGGAATTAATTCTAGAGCTTTGCATAATTAAAAACAACTTGAAAGCAGGAGTTAACCATATTTATGAAAGAATTATATTTTTATAATCTCTTTTCAAGTGGTATAGTTTTAAAATATCAATACCTTCTGAACCATGCAAACAATTTGATGTGATTTGATGGGTACCACTGACAGCAAGCTATTAGTTTATCACAATCTTCATCCAGGACCTCTTGATGGCGTCCATGCAAGACAGTATATCTCTATTGACCGAGCTTACGACCGACCAAGCTGATAAAATCGCCTCCTTGACGGAAGACCAAGCTGATAAAATTGCTTCCTTGACGAAAGACCAAGCTGATAACATCGCTTCCTTGACAGCAATGATGACGACTAAGTTAGATGAGGCGAAGGAAGAGATCGGGCAGCTGAAACGTGATCTTTCGAGCTCGCAAAGCAAGATAGATGAGGCGAAGGAAGCGATCGAGCAGTTGAAACGTGATCGTTCGAGCTCGCAAAGCAAGATTGCTCAGCTAGAAAACGGAACTGCTTCGTTTCACGACGAAACTATGGTCGCCATGGATGAGCTTAAAAATGAGTTTAAAAGCGAGCTGGCTGAAAACTCGGAAGAGAAACGAGCTGAGTTAGTGAATGCAACTTCGTCCTTAAAAAACGAATCTGAAGCCGTCATGGAGGAGCTAAAAAGCGAACTTTCAAACGACATAGAGGATTTGGCTGCTAAGCTAGACGATATAGGCTGGCCAGAAGGGTCGTACTGTATTTTAGGGAGTAGTGGAAGTTGCCCGGCGGGATTCACTAGAATTGTGGGGTATATTAATGCAATATATACTTTGTCAAGTGCTAGCTTCATGAGAGCAGCAACCTTCGGAGACAGCTCCATTACTTGTCGACATGCTTGCTCATACAGTTACACAAATCACAATGCAAATCTGAAAATAGTCTCCTGTTGCAAATAAATAACATGTTCGAATAAAAAACACAGTTGAAATTTTCAGTTGTTAATCTATTCGAAGTTTTCTGCAAAGATGATTGATCACTTAACAAAATAGAAAATAAAAGTAGAAATGATCATGTCATGCAAGTTTTAATATTTTTTTAACTGATTACTTGATTTCCTTAAATTCCCGTATTGTGAATTGTGAAACCTCTTTGAAAATGTATATACAATTTTGAATAGGCAGCAATGAACATTGTTTTACATTGAATGGTTTATATTTACCGATCATACCAAAAATCTAAATTATATTTTCTTCTTGACTAATATACAATCAAGAAAGTAATCATCAATGTGAATGACATCATCCCCAAATTCAAACTCGTAAAAACTATTTACTCATCTAATTCTAAAAAGAATTGCATTAAGTTCCCTGTTCGAATATTTGATGATATGGAGAAGGAAACTGTGAGCTGCAGCTATCCTTCCGCGTACCTTCACTGCTGCAAAGAAAATTATCGATTGATCATAATATCATAAACAGGTTTTATTTCTTTTTGACTATTACCATTGTAGAATAAAATGTTTAATTTGTTATCCAAGTTATAACATTTGTAATTTAAGTGATAAGAGTAAGACCACTGATAGGTATATGAGACGCTTGACACGTTATTTGAGAGGCTACAAAACTTAAGGGGCATGGGGATCGAAATCAGCTTTTTATACCTAATGTTTTTCTATAATACTGTGCATGATTCGTTCACGAGATAGATCGAAAGTAAACCGAATACGTGAAAACTGAAGAGGTAACGGCGAACCAAATAACGCTTACCTTTAAAGCCTGCTTTCAAAACGTGCCTTTTATTGGGACTCACCAAACTACCATTCTTTATTTCAATAAATCAAAATGGTTTGGCATAGTTTTTAAAATGATTCGTCTTTCTTTCCTACATGAAGCAGCTCAGTATGTTATGCTGAGATACTTCGTTTGAAAATAGTGGGCCTGATTCTGTGATTCAGAGTTTGCTCAAGTCACTGTTGAACCAATTTTGTAACCAGCTGGTATTAAGAAATTCAAAATTAACAGCATCTCGAAATTCAGAATCCTTTATTTCTTTGTTTTAATTGTGTACTCGCTCAATTCTGCGACAAAGTTAAACTTGCAAATTAAATTTGGGCGCTCTTTGCTAAAGGTTTCCCGTCTTAATCTAGGAAAACATCTGCCTCATGAAAATTGCAATTACAATGTCAAGTTGTGGCTAACTTAAAAGTGCAAAAGCAATTAAATATTAAATACCCTCCTTCTTAACAATTTCCATTGTTTTATAGACCGAATGATTTTTCGCACTGTCACACACATCTGGTGGCAGCATTGTTCTGAAAATGCATAAAATAGAGCCATCACCACAGCATCCTCACTTTGAACAATCAACAATCAACATGAAGATCTTTCTAGTTATCTGCCTGGTGGCTGCCTCTCTCGCTGCTGAAGATGTCCTTCGTGGTATCCTCCGATCCCCCAAAGAGACCCTCAAGCTCTACGGAGATTTCAAATCCCAGGAGCACCTCAAGTTCCTTGCATCTGAAGACCGAATGAGGTTCCGACTCTTCCGATCCAATGCTCAACTGGTAGCTCAAGCTAACGAGGAGGGAGGATCTGCCGTATTTGGCCTCAACTTCTTCTCTGCGCTGACTGAAGATGAGAAGCAACAGTACCTTGGACTGAACGTTACTGGACATGACGAGAACCCTATGCACGTCGCCTCTTCTTCGCTCAGTGATAAGAAGCCCCCAACAGAGAAACTGTGGACCAATGAGGGTATGGTTACAGCAGTAAAGAACCAAGGAAGCTGTGGATCTTGCTGGACGTTCGGAGCCGTAGGAGGTTTGGAGACAAGGTATCACGGAGTATCTGGTAAACTGAGGAGTTTCGCAGAGCAGGAATACCTGGACTGTGTCTACGAGGGACAGAGGAACGGTTGCAACGGTGGATGGCCTGATAACTGTTACGACTACTCCAGGAATAACGGTGGAAGGTTGGCTTCAACTGCTGACTACGGGTACGCTGCTAAAGATGGTAGTTGCAAAGGAAGTTCGAAACCCAACGCTATGGTGGCTGCTAAAATCGTCGGCTACACCAGGGTTAGCGCAACAGAGAAGGCGAACATTGAAGCCCTTGCATCAGGCTCCTTGTCCGTCGCTTTCGAGGTGACAAATTACTTCCAACAGTACCAAGGTGGCATCATCCAAGACAGAACATGCACCGGGAAACCAAACCACGCCGTCACAGCTGTAGGATACGCATCGAAATTTGTCCTGGTTAAGAACTCTTGGGGATCAACATGGGGAGAAAGTGGATTCGTGAAGTTCGATCGAGGGTACGACCCCAAATGCGGCCTCTTCAAGTACAGCAGCTACCCCAACCTTGATACAACTGGACAGTCTGACAACACTCCTTCTGATGAAGCTACCGACTACAGACCTTCTGAGGAGGATAATGTTAACCCTGACCCAAACTGCAAAGACAAGGCAACTAACTGTAGGTACGCTTGGTGCAACAGAGGGGGTAAATGGGACAACATAGTTAAGAAGAACTGCCAGAAGACTTGTAACAAGTGTGATGGTGGAAATGATGGAGAGTGCCCCAGCGGCACCATTAGATGTTCTGACGGAGTGTGCCGACACGAACACATGTGCTAGATCTCAACCACTCCTCGATGTTTACAATTTCATTTGTTTTTGTTATCATTTGACAAGTAACACATTGTAGTACAGGGAAATCCGTCTGAAAAAATCGATTTGCCGACACACAAAGCTTACAAAGGATTTTTGACGTTTTTGTGTCCTAATAGGTGTCCTTTATGGCTGACCAACTTTTCCAAACTTTTCCACGTGTCTTAAGGCCACTTTTTGCCACTTTACCACTTTTTACCACCTTTCTTGTTTGTCAAATATCTTTAGTTGTGAACATCGTAGAAAGTTGCAGATTAAACGAGGGTGTTCATATTATCAAGAAGAAAAACTTTTGTTCAGACAATTTTTTCCTCAGATAATCAATTAATTGGATAATTATCAATTAGCTAATTAGCAAAAATTTAAAAGATTTTTATTGGCTCTAAATGATTGGAATAGCTTAAAACACGGAGAAAAGTAGTTTTTAGAAAAACTTCGAAAATTTTTCACTTACATTTTTTTTTCGAAACTTAAAAATTTTTTCGAATTTTCGAAATTTTTTTCGCCAAAGGTTATCAAATTGCATGAAACGTAGAGAAAAATGCGTTTAAAAAAACTTCGTGAATTTTTCTTTTAAAGAATACTAAAATCACTTATATTTGTAGTTGGAGTTCAGTAAATCTCGGCAGATTTTAGTAATCAGGAATTATTAAATCGAAATAGATAAAAGGACTGAAACTGAAAAACGTTAACCACAGGATATGAGAGTTTTATAATTAATTACAGTATATCCTTATCGATTTTTACAGAAACTGCACCAAAGGCACATTTAAGATCGAGCCGATAGCCTGCTGTACTACGATAATATGTAATAAATAAAACATCTCTGAGTCTGTACCGTCAATCGTGCTAATCTGAACCAGCCTACCTGGATTACCATCTACCTCTTCTTTTCATCAATAATTAGACCGAGTTGTGCAAGAAATGTGATTTATTATAGCTCATAATAATTACATCACCCACCAAATGCAATATGAGTCATATCGCATTTGATGGGTCTGTAAATAATGTCGAGCTGTTTTCAATCACACTATCACAATAAAACACAATACGTGTACATCATATGGCCCTTAATGCGGTATATGAAACGCTCTTTATCGAGGTGTTTCTATAAATCTATAGACTATACCGTACACTTCTCGTTTCTCCCGCGAAAGGCCGGTATAGAGAGGTTTTACTGTATCACGAAAACTTCTACTTGTCCTCATGGCTCATTGACAGCTCGAAGAAGGCAAGAAAACATCAGAAAGCCTAAAATGTCAACTCGCTCATTTTAATGTTCTTCGATCCGTCCCACATTGATCCCGAGCTTATCATCATGGCCCCCAAATATCCTGCGGCAAGAACCTGTCTTTTTACTTCACAACATCCGGATTGCAAACCAGCATAATCATTACCGTTTTTTGACTACCCCACGGCTCTTGCCCATGTCCGACGCTCGTATCTAGATCTTATCTTTGCCCGTATATTACTCTTTTTGAATTTAGCCAACCCTGACATATGGGGGTGATTTGAGGTTTGAGGTATCTCGCATAGCGAATGAAGTGGTATGCAGAACAATAGAAAACAAGTCACAATAGATGTTGGAAGGTGTATTTACACTTGTTTCCTACTTCCTAGCTCTTCCTTGGTATCCATGGTCTCTTCTTGCCTTCTTCGAGCTGTAAATGAGCCATGAGGCCAAGTAGACGTTTTCGTGATAAACTATACCGGGTCTATCGAGGTATAAAGCGTTTCATATACCGCATTAAGGGCCATTTAATACAAAGGTATTGTTAATTGTGTCGTATATTACTATTGTGATTGAATACAGCTCGATAAGTACTTACATCACCCACTAAATGCAATATGAGCTATGATAAATCACATTTCTTGCACAACTCGGTCTAATTATTGATGATCAAAAGAAGAGGTAGATGGTAATCCAGGTAGGCTGGTTCAGATTAGCACGATTGACGGTACAGACTCAGAGATGTTTTATTTATTACATATTATCGTAGTACAGCAGGCTATCGGCTCGATCTTAAATGTGCCTTTGGTGCAGTTTCTGTAAAAATCGATAAGGATATACTGTAATTAATTATAAAACTCTCATATCCTGTGGTTAACGTTTTTCAGTTTCAGTCCTTTTATCTATTTCGATTTAATAATTCCTGATTACTAAAATCTGCCGAGATTTACTGAACTCCAACTACAAATATAAGTGATTTTAGTATTCTTTAAAAGAAAAATTCACGAAGTTTTTTTAAAAGCATTTTTCTCTACGTTTCATGCAATTTGATAACTTTTGGCGAAAAAAAATTTCGAAAATTCGAAAAAATTTTCAAGTCTTGAAAAAAAAATGTAAGTGAAAAATTTTCGAAGTTTTTCTAAAAACTACTTTTCTCCGTGTTTTAAGCTATTTCAATCATTTTGAGCCAATAAAAATTTTTTAAATTTTTGCTAATTAGCTAATTAGCTAATTGAGAATTATCCAATTAATTGATTATCTGAGGAAAAAATTGTCTGAACAAAAGTTTTTCTTCTTGATAATATGAACACCCTCGTTTAATCTGCAACTTTCTACGATGTTCACAACTAAAGATATTTGACAAACAAGAAAGGTGGTAAAAAGTGGTAAAGTGGCAAAAAGTGGCCTTAAGACACGTGGAAAAGTTTGGAAAAGTTGGTCAGCCATAAAGGACACCTATAAGGACACAAAAACGTCAAAAATCCTTTGTAAGCTTTGTTTGTCGGCAAATCGATTTTTTCAGACGGATTTCCCTGTACTATTGCATTGAAACCTTGTTTTATTGATAGCCTAGGGGAAATAGCGAAACAAATGGGCACAGAAAATATGTGCAACCATCTTCGGTTATATAAAATTAAGATGACCAATTAATGGCTTTAAAGGGGTTTTAAAAAGTGTAAATAGTTGGATAATTGTAAAACACATTATTTGTCCGTCTTAGATCCTGAAATGAGTGTCAGGAGTCAGTTTTGTGGGTTATCTTATTGGCTTTAAAGGGTTTTAAAAAATGTAAATTGTTGGATAAGTGTAAAACACATTATTTGGCCGTCCCTGATCATGAAATTAGATCCAGGAGTCAGTTTTGTGGGTTATCTTACTGGCTTTAAAGGGGTTTTAAAAAGTGTAAATAGTAGGGTATTTATAGAGCACATTATTTGGCCGTCTTAGATCCTGAAATAAGTACCAGGAGTCAGTTTTGTGGATTATATTGCTGGCTTCAAAGTGGTTTTAAAAAGTGTGAATAGTTGGATAATTGTAAAACACATTATTTGGCTGTCTTAGATCCTGAAATGACAACAGTACCATTTTGCCAGTTTCCTACTTAATAGTTGTACACGTATCCGGTACCACTTAGAGTTAGCCAAGGTATAATTTACAATTGAGTAGGAAGCTGGAAAATGGACCGCTTAGCCATGTGGTCTAGTTTACAAGTACCTATCGCAAAACGTGTCCAAGTATATGCGCTATATTTACAATACCAGTACTCAAGAATGTCAGATATACTCGAATTAAATTAGAACTACCGATCAGGTGCGTGCTCCGGAATTATTCTGTATAAGGTTTTTTTAAAGCAGCAGTTACTAACTCAGCAGTTACTAACTAGCTCAATTTTGAGGCGTAAAATATCCACAACTCGCTGTGATATTGTGATATTCCTAGCATGGGATCTCCTTACTATACCCCGCTGAGCTGGTTCAAGCTGATTTTAATGGTCAGATCACAACGTTTATAACTTCCATACCCGCTACTATTGTTAATTGTTATTACTACTATACTAGGGATAAGTTGCAGCTGCCAAAGCCACGCCCAGTTATCAAACGATCAAGGGATCTAACACAATGTTTTATTATCTGGGGTACATTATGTGCCCTGATAATAGTAAATGGATATCAATGTTTATAGATATAACCATATTACCATATTACCCGTTGATCTGTAGTTTGGACTACAAATACCGCCTGAGGTTCGGAGTTTTAAAATGTATATAATAATAAAGATTATAGATCTCTTTACAAACAAAACAAGGACTAACGAACTTTAAGATTTACGATTCAGATCATCTAAATCATCGATTACTGCAAACAAATTTTTGGTCACATCAGAATTTACGACCTATACCGACCCAACTGAAAACAGATCCACTGAAGGTACCTAACACCGCGATTTGATAAACACTAGTGTCATTACAACTATGTCTATATGACCAAAAACTGGTCAAGAGTACAGAAGACCTCTATACAAATAAAACTCAAGGACTAATGAACTGTAGGTTTCATAACTAATGCATCGACAAATGAATAAATCCTGTATGGACCTCTATAACCCGACCCATCTAAAAACAGATGCGTCAGGGTTTTGTAATGTTAGGGTTTTATGACCTGGCAATAAATCTCATATTTAAACATTATCGTTGCTTGTGGTAAAGTCTTGTGGTAAAGTCTTTACTAAAGACCACAACTTATCACAAAACGTCCTCGGCGCGCTTTTTATTTATACATATTTTATAGCTGAAGCCTGAAGTGTGCTTTTGTATTTATAGATGCAGCTAAAGTCTAAAGCGTGTTTTTATATTTATGGATGCATCTAAAGTCTAAAACGTGTTTTTGTATTTATGGATGCAGCTAAAGTATAAAGCGTGTTTTTGTATTTATAGATGCAGCTAAAGTCTAAAGCATGTTTCTGTATTTATAGATGCAGCTATAGTCTAAAGCATGTTTTTGTATTTATAGATAGAAATTGTGTCTCCGCCCTCTGGGGTCGTTAGCGGCTCATGTGCTGACCAAGATACACGTTATAATCTCAACAATATCATGACTTCATAACATATTATCGAGTTTTTACAATTAACTCCGACCGACTAGAGACCACGTTGATATTTACATTAATTCCCGTCTAGGATTCTAATGAGCTAACGTCTGTTTATATAATATATCGTTAAAACATTCGTAAATCACAA